AATTGTTTCTTGAGCCACCTGCAAATTCCGAAGCTATCAATTTATGTCAAATTAGTTAATTAGTTTTATTAATTTATTCAAATTTTTCATTCTTTTTAGTTCTTTGAAATTTGAAACTTTTTTTAAATCTGATTTTATTATTTTGAGAAGACTAAGCTGGTTGTGATATAACCTCTAGGAAACAACTACTGCAGCCCAAGAACACTTGCAAACAAAAAAGGCTACACATGTGTAACCTCTGAGGACTAAGATGCATTGCCTCACAGCCTGTAACTAAGCTGGCTCTCTATTCTCCTTCATACACACACACACACACCAGAGCTGGCACTGTTATTTGCAACTTTATTTTGCATGACATTTAGTTACACTTTTGATAGTTTTAACACTTTCACTGTCCGGTTTTCAAACACAATAGTAAGACAATAGCAATGACCTATATGTAGTGCATGGGACAGCGAAAGGGTTAATACAATTTTTTTTTGTATTATTTTATATATCATCTGTTGAAAGAATTATTTCTGCCATAATATGAACCAAATACACTCAGGGATGCTGTTTCTGAGGCTGAGCCCAAACAGCTCCTAGGTAGAAAGGGTCCTACAACCTTATACTAAGAAACATATTTGTATTACTAAGTATTTAAAATAATTGTAGACACTAACCGTATGCTGGGCACTGAGATTATTTTCCGACTGAGTAATTTGCTCTTTGAGCATGTTGATCTGTGCATTGATGTTGTCGATGTCGTGTGAGTGATGGCTGGGTGCAGCTGGCGGGCCCGAATTCGCCGCCAGCCATTGCTGAAGCGCCGGCGCCACCGCCATCGATGCCGCAAGACCCAGCTGCGCGGCCGTAGCACCGCCCTGTTGGGGCATTACATATTGCCTGTTCTGTGCCATATAAGCCCCGACGGGCGCGGGAGCAGACTGCCCACCGGCCGATTGCTTTAGAACTATAAACAGCGGAGGTTCACTTGAAACGGTTATCACAACACGCAAACTAGCGATCGGGGGCGACCGCGACATTCTATCTGTGCCATCGTTGATTTATGCTTACTTGCTTGCTCTGTCGTCACTTTGTATTGATAGTAGTTGAAGTACTCCCCGCCGTACAGGAAACTAAACTTAGGATTGTTCTTTTGCTTGTTTTTGGTCATTTTCTCGAACTCCGGTCCATTTCTTGCGACGAACTGAGCCAGTTTGTCTATTATGTTTCGAAGATCTTGATCTAAAACGTTTAAAATTCAAATTATGTATAATAAATAAAAAGTAAAACATCAACATACAAACTACACAATACCTACCTTGTGGTGGTTGAGGAAGCTCCATTTTTAAGTAATATTTTTGAGGTTAGTATTAATATTAATTATTCTTTAATGTACACAATAGTTGAGTATTTTTTGTGTCATTATAAGTAATAATAATCAGTAATTCACATATTACAACGTAATAGTCATATCAAAAAGATAGTTCTATGAGTTGTCACAAAACACTTCAAACCGCAGAAACTCGACCATCCGCCATTTTTACAGCAATTATTGTCTATTATTATGTAGTTTTTTCCTTTGTTATATATAGCATTGGCTACATGGTCTTCCGCCGCAAGGAATACAGTGAAAGGCGTAATACACTACACTGAATCAGAGACTCTATAATACCCGTATTACATACACTACACTGAATCAAAGCCCTGAATTAAGGGCGCCCCTAACTAGTGACGTCAATTATTACATTGCACTGATTTTACGCCCTTACTCAGTTAAAGAGTGAATTTCGGAGCAGCTGGACGTCATGATACGTAGTATACACTTAGTAGTCTGTGACGTCATGCCACCTATTTTGTTTTATAGAATACGGGTGACAAACAAGCACACAGTCCACCTGATGATAAGTGGATGCAGTGGATGTGCAGATGCGTTGCCACACCTGAGAATTAAGATAAATTGCCTCGCTTCCAGTAAAAAGGCCTCCAGTTCTCAACACTCACCGTACGAAACACATGAACATTAAGCTGTAATTTTACGCTAGTATTATGTGAGAGCGTAGACCTACCCCGGTCGAGCCGACCTATTCGCGTTACAATCATAATATAGCTGCAGTGTGGCTCTACCGCGTAAAAATATATTATCAAAACAAAAAAGTCGCCATTGCTATGGCTGTCACACTTGTACACTTTAAAACCTTCACTTTTATGTCCTTATGCATATAGAGTTTGTGGTCCTTCTTATACAAATAAGGTGTACAAATCTATTACAGACAATAACACAATTTTTTTTTGTTGGACATGGCTTCGCGCCAAAACAGAAATACAAAAAAAAAACACATGACCAACCTCCTCCTATACTTAATTGTGTCATTCCCTAGCGTACAGTACATGTAAAATATTTTGATGAAAAATGTATTCACGCAAAAAATGCAATGTTAACAATGTTACTTTTTTCCGTACTAGGTAAATTTTGTACTAGGTACACTTAGTCCAATTCCATACAAATATTCGATTCAAATATCTGTTTGTTTTACCTAGTCCATGAAGTACGCATAAAGTTTGTTATTGTGGGAATAGATTACACTTTAAAGTACGCTTAGTCTTTACGTACAGACGATACATGAAGATAATGAATAGTAACCATCCCTTCATACTTTACACAGGCTTAGGGCTGTAAACGTTAAGATTTATCTACATTCTAGATTGTTGGCGTATCTAAAAGGTTTAAATTTTTTTTCAGAGTAATCAGATTTTAGTCCTTTTTTAGTTTATTTTTTTAATATTTCTTTTTCGTTTTTTTTTTAATTACCTATCTACAATCATTGCTTTTTATATTCGAAAAAAAATCAGTCTTAAGAATTTTTAAAACTAAATTGTATTTTACAAATGTTTCACTCGGCCATTTGTGGGCCTATGTCCGTAAAATGATCCCAAGCGACACTGCTTCCTTTGGGAGCCAATTTTTTTAAAACAATAAACACTTTCTAACTTCCAAATAAAAATAAATCGAAAGTTTTTTAACCACACAACAAAACTTCGTTACGAAAACCTATTGCTAAATCAGTAGAGTAAGTATCATTACAATGCCGAGATCACATTCGCATGAATTCGTACTAGACACTCGACTTTTTTTTATAGAATAAGGGTGAAAAACGAGTACACAGTCCACCTGATGGTAAGTGGTTGCTGCGGCCCATAGACATCTACATCTATCCTCTGTTACAAATCAAAATTTAGATGCGTTGTTACCCGTGAGGACTAAGATGGAATGCCTCATTTCCAGTAAAAAGGGCCTCCGGCCACCTGCACTCACCAAGCGAAACGTAGAGGTAAACCTCTACTTCACGCTGGTTTTCTGTGAGGTCGTGGTACCACCCCGGTTCGAGCCGGCCCATCAGAAAACTATCCGACTACATCATGTAGTCTCCATTCGCATCGGGTATTTACAAGTGCCTAATAGACGTATTTGGTCGAAGTCCCGACTAGTTTAGAGAATTGACAGACAAAGATAGAAAGACTGCGGCATAGTGTAGATAAATAAAGATAGAATATTATATTAAAGACACACCCGTTGGCACTTAACGCTATCGTACGTACTCATTATATGGACGACTATTTAGACAGCTATGCAACGGTAGAGGAAGCGGTAAACACGGCGAGGCAGGTTACGGAAGTACACCGGAAGGCCGGTTTCACCTTGGCAGGCTGGAATTCTAACCACGCAGCCCTATTGGAAGACAAGCCGGAGGAACTACTGGCGAGCAAGCCTAAGGAAGTAGGCTCGAGGCATGACAGCCCGGGCGGAACCCTATGGTTGTTATGGATGGCCGACGAAGACGCCCTAACCTTCAACACATCGATGAATAGGGTGCCGCAGGAAATAAAGGTGCTACAGCGACCACCTACCAAGAGGGAAGCATTAAGTGCAGTCATGTCTGTGATTGACCCGCTCGGACTGCTTAGCTACCTCACCATCACCGCCAAGATCCTGCTACAAGACCTATGGCGAATGAAGAAGGTCGGATGGGATGACGAACTACCCGAGGAGGCAGCGGATGAATTCCAGAGGTGGCTGCGAGTCGTCGAGGAGGTGTCACAACTGCGACTGCCAAGGTGCTATGCTCCTACGGGAGGAGTGGTAGAGAGTCAACTTCACGTATTTAACGACGCAAGCGAACGTGCGTACGTATCCGTGGCATATTGGCGAATACAATACAGCGACAGAACGGTTAGGGTACGATTAGTGGCGGCCAAGGCGAAAGTCGCTCCGATCAAGGCGCAAAGTATACTGCGATTAGAGTTGCAGGCGAATTTAATAGGCGCGCGACTCGCGGCATTCGAGCAAGGCGAGCATAGAGTGGTAGCGGATAGGGTCGTATATTGGACGGACTCTACTACGGCGCTCCACTGGATACAAAATGATACGACGCGTTACACTCCATACGTGGCTCATCGGTTAGGGGAGATAGCTGAAAAGACATCACCCGAGCAATGGAGGTGAATACCGACTGCTGAGAACATAGCAGATCAGGCAACGCGCAGGAATTTCGTAACCAAAGAAGAAAGCAATAAATGGTTCACAGTACCGTCATTCCTTTACGAGGACGAAGACAGATGGCCTCACCGACAGGAAGAGAGGGCAGGGGATGATGAAGAGTTGGAGGAAATCGTGGCGCACCAGAGTGACACCAAGGACGCTCCACACCTGCTAGACATAGAACGATTCTCTTCCTACCAGAGATTGATCAGGGCCACGAGTACTGCAGTTCGTCGATGGCATACGGGGAAGGGCACAAGGACTGACATTGCAGCACATCCAGAGAGCAGAGCGGATGTGGATAGAACACAGCTAACCTGAAAGCTTCGCTGAAGACATCAGCCGCCTTCAGCGGGGAAAGAACCTGGCCACCGGCAGCGCACTGAGGAAGCTCGACCCCATATTGGAAGATGGAATGCTACGAGCCAGGGGAATTGACGCAGCCGACGTGGACGGCCAGATGTAGAGACCCATCATATTGAATGGACGCCACCAATTCGTGAAGCTGCTAGTAGAGAAGGCGCATCAGGAAGCAAGCCACGCCAACAGAGAGACGGTGGTCAACGACCTACGCACCAGGTTTCATATCCTCCGATTACGACTTACCGTACGAGAAGCGGAGCGGAGATACCTGCGCCGCAGGGTACGCAAGGCGACACCACGGCCTGCGGTTACAGTAGACCTACCACCCGAACGGTTAGGGGCGTTTGCGCGACCATTTACGTACACCGGAGTCGACTATTTCGGGCCTCTGATAGTTACGATAGGACGACGGCACGAAAAACGGTGGGTAGCACTATTCACGTGCTTAAGGACGCGCGCGGTTCATTTAGAACTAGTTTACTCCCTGACAACGGACTCGGCGATATCGGCATTGCGGCGCATGGCGGCTAGGCGTGGGTGGCCACGGGTTATATACGCCGACAATGGCACAAACTTTCATGGGGCAAACACAGAACTGCAACGGGCGATGGAAGAGTGGGCACCGCAGCTGAAGGACTACGCGCTGACTCGGCGAACAGAATGGAAATTCCTCGTACCGGGCGCGCCTAACCAAGGAGGCGCATGGGAGCGTCTCTTGCGCTCAGTGAAGACCGCACTCGAAGCCACTCTACATCAAAAGAGCCCACGGGAGGAGACGTTAGCGACCCTCCTGACAGAAGCAGAGAACACAGTAAACTCTCGACCGCTGACGCACGTACCGGTCGATATCAACGACGAAGAGGCGCTGACACCCAACCACTTCATACTGTTGGTACCATCGGGCCTAACAGTCACCACGCACACCCATTGATCGTCGGGCGTGGAGAGCGGCGCAGGGGCTCGCCGACGAGTACTGGAGGCGCTGGGTGAAAGAGTACCTGCCAACGCTGGTTGCGCGCGGGGACTCCCGAGATGCTCAGCAGCGCCAAATTCAAGAAGAGGACCTCGTCGTGGTTGCGGACGGCAACTTACCAAGAAACGTGTGGCCGCGGGGTGTCGTGACGAAGACATTTCGTGGACCGGACGGCGTGGTGCGCAACGTCGAGATTAGGACCAGGGGCGGAGTGCTGCGGCGACCCGTCAGGAAGATAGCCGTCCTCCCGAGTGAACCTTAGGCTCGCAGGCTACGCCAGGGGAGGATGTTACGGACGGCGAGGGGAACCGCCGCCCCGTCGCCCCTTCATACCCCGTTGCGCCCCGCGCACCCCACACACCAGCAGCAGATCACGGGATGTCGCCGACCAATCAGCGCGCGGCATCGCCTCACGACGCTACTCACAAACTGAGATGCTCTCTTGCGGGATATAAGAAGGGCGTTTTGGTCTGTGAGGCGTTCATTTCAGAAGCGGCACTCGAAGACAACAAGAGAAGAAACCTCAAGAGAAACCATCAAGAGAGAAGAATTTATACTCCATTGAATACTCCCATCTGTGTATATAGTTAATTAGTGAAAGCTGCATTTATAAATAGTTTAATATAGTATAGTTCTACAGTACCATCTTTTCTTTAAGCAGTCCCTAGTGTAGTATACGTCAGTCAATCATCAGTCAGTTATACTGTCCACTTGCAATAGTAAATTCATACAGTCCAATTCTGTCTCTTATAGTTTGTTTTATTAGATTTTTCCATAAATATTACTTTCAGCATTTTATGCACAAGTACACTGTGTTTCTCGATAGTGATTCTGTTCAGATGCCAATTATTACTGAGCAACAATTGACCATCTCGAAAAAAATTATCGAGAAACGCATTGTACATGTACATAAAATGCAATACAAAGTATCTGTAAATTGCACCGTGTTTTAAAATTCTCGCACTAGCTTCGACTGTCTAGTTTTCGTGAGCGTTGCATAGATGGCGCCGGTCGGTAAGGAAAAATTTCCTCATAAAATTTGTATGAAGTCGTTATTCTTCCCCTTTAGGGAAATATATGTTCTGTGCCTACCATATGGAATTTTCTTCTCCCTTGCCATCGATCACTAATAAAAAACTAGATACACAATCAGTGACAAAAAATGGCATAACCGAATATGCACCCACTCGAACATATGGGTGCACATTTAATCTAGTAGCATTCGAATGTTCCGACGGTAAACATGCCTCAGTGCTCTTTTAAAAAGTGTAAAAAGCACACATCCAGGACGCTAAAAAACGGTGGAATTTCATATTTTCTTTAAATATTAATATTAACATTATTTAATTGTTATAACTGTATGGTAAATACTGATATTTTGTCAAGAAATCATCGAAAAAGTATTTTTTAAATTAAGTCGTAATATAATAAGTCGTGATTTTTCGAGGTATATGCGTTGATTCTGTTCCATTTGTGGAAACGCTATTGTTTTTTTATTTATTTTTTTGTTATTAATGTATGATTGTAGTTTTTTTTTTGTTTAATGAGAGTTCTTTACTGAATATAAAATAAGTTAATATACGCGTTAAAATCCGTAAAACTGGTTTCATTTAAATGTGAAGTGAACGCGTAAATATATGAAATCATTATAATTATTCAATCTTATCCGTTTTTTTAAACATCTGTAAATATGAATATTACGTCAAAATTTGAACAATAATGTTCTTAGATTTTGCAAGAACTTTCTGTACTTATTTTTTATATTTAGTAACTATTATATTTAGATTTAATTTATTTGTCAAGCAATATCTTTAAATATTTCACACAAGATAAAGAATAAATAAATAATTATGACTGCTTCAATTATTTTCATTACTAAATGAATGTGGTGCCCTATACAAAAGCATATTTACATTAGGGTAATAATATAACCATTACACATATACACCATAGAATAGAATAGAATATGCTTTATTTAGTAGACCAATTATTTAAAACAAGTTTAAAAAAATTGTAAAATTAAAATGACAATAACAAAAAATATTGTGCAGATCGACTCCTCTCTCCTAGTCCAAGCGACGAGCCTCGGTCGTAAAATTTTATTGCTTTTTGTACGTTGTTTTGTGAATACAACTTTAAGCATTTCACTTAAGATTGAATTTACATTAATGTATATTTATATCAACTAGAATTACGTCAAAACATTTGGCGACAGTTTTTAGAGAACTTTTGAATGGAATTGTGCATCTAGTTTTTTATTAGTGATCGATGTCCCTTGCACACTATGGCGATGTATATATTCTAAGTCTATGGTTTGTAGCAACCTTTTTAATTTCATGCTTCATGTTTATCTTACTAGTATTTAGTTATCTGTGCATTTTAGTGGCAACTGGCTGGCAATACCAGTTGTTTTGAATATTGATCTTTTAGCCAACCAATTGCGATTATTAAAATTATTTAATGTTCAATGCAGTCATTCGCTACATCAATGTGTGGCATGTAGTGTTGGTTGGTCAGAATACTTTTGGTTCACGTCAATCGATCAACGTGAATCATTATTGTCAAAACATTGTTTAGAAAGATTTTTAATAATTTGTAGTTAATCACATAGGCATACAAAATGTCTTCACTGGTAAGTGCCACCCTTTTCTTAAATTTGCCATCATCTTTTAAATTTAACTGTGTATAAATGTTTTGCGGATAATCACGTTAAATTGCATAAAGGTAATGATGGCATTGAATAACTGAGTTATAAAATTTGAAAGCAAACTAGCACTACAAAATTAAATACATAATCAATAATTTTCATTGAATTTAACTATGAGAAGAAATAAATCTTCTCAGAGAAATATAATGTCTAATGATTTTTATTTTATTTCAGCGCATGAAGGCAGCAAAATGCCCTTCTGATGAGCTTGCCATCACAAACTGCGCCCTCATTAATCCAGATGATTTCCCTAGCGATGTCAAGTATGTTTTAACAACTTCAAATTAATTCTAATATTTTTTATCGTATACCTAAAAGTTTTATATGTATTGAAATTGAAAGTACTGCTTAAATTAATTATATTACTGCATAAATATTTCATAAACATATTTTTTGTTACATAAATACTTCAAAGTTCTATTGATTAAATAAAAATTGTATGTTGTAATCTTTCATATTCAGTAATTAAAATGCTGAAATACTAAGCCTGTAAACCTATAGTCGTAACACATCATATATATACTTAAAAGGTACAATTTCTCTATCATTATGGTACTCCAGGCTAAATAGAAATAAAAGTCTATAGAACTTTATTCTAAGACAAGATAATAAATCATCTGAATCAGATTCATTGATGTTATAATGGGAATTTTCATATCCTAACATCTCTTCATGTCATCTTTTGTCTTCCTGAAAAATACTATTGGTTTTTATAAGAATGTGTGTACATAATGTTAGGTATGTTCTTAATTTTCCATCTTGCATATCCAAAAAACAAATGATTTAAATGAAAAATTAATGGAATAATTCATAACATTTTGACTTAATAATTTTTTGAATTTTACACAAATACTACACAGAATAAAACTAATTTTATCCATATTATCTTGTTTAATTTTAACATTTTAAATCCCATTCGACATTTCGGGCGCTTTACAGTACCCATGGTATTGCACAACCAAGGCATTCTAATGCCTTGGTTGTGCAATACCATGGGTACTGTAACCATAGTAGAGTTCTACCATAGTAGAGTTCTGATGCATAGTTGAACTATGGCATCAGGACATTTTAAGCAATCATTGTAGAATAATTCCAATGCAAATCCATAAATATACATTTGCATTTGTGTATATGTAATTTGTTTGAGTATTTAATGGGTGTTTATAGATGCAAATAAAGCTAAAAGGTTTATATCTAATAAAGTCATCTTACTGACTTTCTTGTACTTAAAATAATTAGTAATATTGAGGTTCTTCCATTTATATAACCAGAGTATGAAAAAGAGTGATTGAAGGAATGACATTATACTTCTTCTTTTCCTTACTAAGTCTTTATTGGACTGTAATAAAAGGTATGGTATTTTTATTATAACCGAATCTAAGAAATTTAAGGTGTTACAAGTAGCTGCATGGCTATAGGTTTTTAGCAATAATGGGGAAAAAGAAGATATATTGTAATACTATAGCTGGTTGATTCATTCCATTATTTTGTTTTAAGGACAACCACTGCAATAGGCCTGTTCTATTAATACTGAAGCATATTATGAAATTTATTAACATAATAACATTCCATTGCAAATTTTTACTAAATATCATTTTTGGCATAACTGATTCTAAAATATTTTATGATTGTTTACTTGTATTTTTGAGCCTATATGGGTAATATATGGATATCTTTGATTCACACAAATAAAATAATTTGATTATCCCTACATATCTGTATAAAAACCATATTTTTATAAGAAGAATATCTCATGTTAAATTAGTCTTTTTTTTTTAGTTTAATAAAAGTACATGTTGTATACATAATAAAGGTGTTTTTTTAAATTGAAAATTCATCTGGTTATTTTTGAAGTAACCCTTAGAGAAAATGATTAATTTTCTTTTTAGAAATGCATGTATTAATTTCAGGCATATAGAGGTTACGACTGGACCTTCTCAGCATTTCGTATTTAGTATTCGATTCTATAGTGGAGTTGATCGTGGCACTGTGGGATTTTCAGCACCACAGCGAAAATGGGCTACTCTGTCTATTGGGCAGGTTAGTAGAAAATATTTATTATATAATATATATTATATTTATTTTTTTTAAATTAAAATGACAAACAAACATTTTACTTTTTATTATAAAACTGAAGCAACCAACTTACAATCCACCTAAGTATATAGATAAGTGGCTATTGTCTCGAAAGTGGGACAACAAATTTGTGCATTGATACCTCTGAGGACCAAGATGGAATGCCTTACAGCCCATAATATTATACATACCCCTTCAGAAAGGAACACAACAATGCACAAATTCCTATTTGGCATCAGAAACAGAACATATAGGTGTGTGGTACCTAACTAGATGCTATCTACAACTGCATTGAATTAGCTGACCTTACACCATAACACTTTAAAGGCAACGAAAAAAACAAAATTATATATACATAAAATATAAAAGTTATATGAATAAATTATAAAAGTTATTACTCCCCATGGAACATGTTACAATAGCTATACACAAATTAATAAACCTACAACAACATTTTGCAATACATACTGTTAAAATATATATGAACATGAAGCAGGAGGTGCTGCATATGCAGTTGTACAGTTTTCTGAAAGCTGCAGTGGCAATAGGTCGGCTATATATGTAGACTCTTGAATATCAGTCTCATGCTGTCAGTGTTTGGTCCACAAGTATTCAATGGATCAGCATCAAATGATCAGTACCATACTAGGGATGTTGTAGATGCAGAATTTTTTTGCATCCGCGGAAGCGAATTAGTTTATTGAGGATAAAAATTATCGTATTGATTATTGCTGATGCGGATGTCTAAATCAATGCAAAAGTTCCGCAATTCTGGATGCGAGTGCAAGTTTCCGCAACATCCTAACGGGCAATCTATATGTTCAGCTGTGGACATTTGATGGGCTGTAATGATGGTGATATATTAACCTGTAAAATTAGATTTATTAGTAGGCCCTTTCAAGTTGCGGCAACTGGCTTGTATTCTTATATCATACTAATATAATACTGAGCCTAAGCTTCGGTAAAAAGAACGCAACAACGCAATAGTTATTTAGCAAACCGATTATTCATCTTTTGAATCTTTGTACAAGCACGTACAATATTAGGCTCAAAAATGCTAATTTATTTATCAAGTTGTTGATGTTGTTTCGTATGCCTGTGGACAGAATTTTGCAGTATCAAATACAGATCGATAAGTTGCGTCATCCGCGCGTCATTGCTCGAGTCCCAGAGCGCATTTACTAAGGGATTATAGTAGCTTATTTGTTGGTGTAGGTAGTTCTTGAAAACGAAAATGTGTGCTTGTTAATTTGAAATAGGAAAAAATTGAATCAGAATTATAAAAAAGGATACATACATACATAAACACTCACGCCTGTCACCCAGAGGGGTAGGCAGAGATTATGGACTTCCATTTGGCACGATCCTGACACACCTCTCTCGCTTCCTCCACATCCATATACCTACGCATACACGCTCGTCGGTTAAAGGTACTCTTTATTTGGCCCATTTTTAATATATCGCCAATTTGGTCGATAAACTTTCGCCTAGGGCGACCCTTCCCGACTATGCCGTTCACCTCTGCAACATAAATTTGCTTTGTCACTCTTTCCTCATTCATTCTTTCTACATGGCCAAACCACCGAAGCATTCCTTTCTTAATCCTGGTCACAACATCATCTTGCAAACCACACTCTTCTCTTATTAAACAATTTCTCACTCTGTCATTCAGCTTCATCCCTAACATACTCCTTAATGACCGCATTTCTACAGCATTTATTCTACTCTCATGCTTCTTCTGCCACACCCAACTTTCACTACCATACATTAAAGTAGGTACTAACACAGCATTGTGAATTGCCATACGTGCCTTTTTGGACACATTCTGACTTTTCACAATAGAGTGTAGAGCCCCATTCACTCTATTTCCTGCATTCACTCGTCGTTCTATATCCTTATCATATCTACCATCCCTGCTAAACACACATCCCAAATATACAAACTCATCTACTTGCTCTACCAACTCCCCTTCTATTCTTATTTCACATATCGTTTTACTTTCTTCTCTTTCAAAAACCATAACTTTCGTCTTACTTGCGTTCACTTTCATTCCCTTTTCTTTTAATGTCCTGTTCATTAATGTAACCATCATTTGCAACTCGGCTGCCGACGACGCAAGTATGACTTGATCATCGGCGTACAAAAGGCATTTGACGGTTAACTCACCCATTCTTAACCCGCATTCTTCTACTTTCAAATTTTCCAAACAACTGTCCATAAATAGGTTGAACAACCACGGGGAAGCCACACAGCCCTGTCTGACACCTTTATGGATGTCAAACCAGTCCGAGTAGGCCCCGTTGATCCTGACACAAGCACTAGAGTCCCTATATAGAGACTTCAATGCCTGTATCAGACCAGCGCTCAACCCAAATGAGTTCAGTGTTTGCCATAACACATCCCTGTCCACTCTGTCATAAGCCTTCTCCAAGTCCATGAACGCACAAAAAACTTTTTGGTTTTTGGCCAAAAACTTCTCGGCGATCATGCGCATGGAAAAGACCTGATCCGTACATCCCATTCCCTTTCTAAATCCCGCTTGCACATCCCAAATTTTTCCGTCAGTTTCTTTCATAACTCTTTCAATTAGTACCTTAGCATACAGTTTTCCCACAATGCTAAGAAGGCTGATACCACGGTAGTTTTTACAGTCCTGCTGTGATCCTTTTCCCTTATATATTGGGACTATCACGGCTTTGCACCAGTCTCCCGGTACCCGCTTAAGTTCCCAACATAAATTAAACAAGGTGTACAGCAGGTCTGCCACCACTTCTTCTCCAGCCCTTAGCATTTCGAGAGATACTCTATCATAACCAGCTGCCTTACCTACTTTCATACTTTTCATTGCTTTCATTATTTCATCTATACTTATATCTCTATCTATTTCCTCTTCTTTCGGAATTTCTATTTCATTTAATTCAAACGTCTCATCACTCATAAACACGCTTTCAAAGTATTCCTTCCATCTCCTTAAACTCAAAACTTCGTCATTCAGAATACAGCCATTCTGGTCTCGTATAGCATTCATTCTAGGCTGTTGTGAATGTCCCCTGGTAGTTCTTACGAGTTTCCAGAACATTTTAATGTTTTCCTGGAAGTTATCCGATATTCTTCTATCATTCTTATCCGTTCTTTCTTGCTTTTTCCTTTCAACTACTTCTTTTACTCTCTTATTTAGGTGTCTAAAAACCGCCTTTTTCCTTTCAATATCATCATTCATACTGCTAGAATTACTAGCCTTGGTTGCTAGTAAATCTAGCCATGCTTTCTTCTTTGCTTCAACTTCCATCCGTACCTCATCATCCCACCATAACGTGTTATTTTTCCTTTCATTTGTTCTCTTGCTTACACCACATACTTCGGTAGCTGCATCCACTAAACCTTTCTTGACATTATACCACACAGTCTCCAAGTCTAAATCATTCATACACAATTCAGCCATACCACTTATATTTTCTCTCAATCTACATTTGAACTTCTCTTTCACACCTTCATCTTGTAGCCTCTCTGTTTTTATACGCTGTAACGCTGTGGTAGACACAGATGTCCGATGCCTCCAACGTCTGAAAAGACCATTAATTCGGCATAAGACCAAGTAATGATCCGTCCCTACGTTAGAGCCCCGGTAAACCCTTGTATCTACCACCGCGCTCCTCATTCTTTCATCAACAATTATGAAATCTATCATACTTCTATCATCACCTCTTTCCCATGTATACGTGTGAATCTTCTTATGACGAAACAAAGTGTTCGTCACAACAAGATTCTTTTCCACGCATACGGCGAGAAGGCTTTCACCATTCTCATTTATACTTTCATCACCAAACGTTCCCAATATCCTTTCATAACCAAGCCTCCTCACCCCAACCCTTCCATTAAAATCGCCTAATATCACAATATTTTCATTAACCTTGCATTTCATTAGCACCATCCTTACCAACTCCCAAAACTGCTCTCGGATATAAGTGGGCTTAGACATGTCTGGGGCGTAGACCCCTAAAACAAACAACTTCTTTAAGCCCACTTTCATTCGTATCCATAGCAGTCTCGGGCTTACACATTCATACTCTTTTACACAATGACCCATTCTTTCTGAAAGGATGATACCGACTCCCTGGCATGCCCGCTCGGTCTCGTCTACACCAGACCAGTACGCGGTATACATGCCATGTGTAGTGGCATCCTTTCCCTTCCGTTTCGTCTCATTCACACATAACACGTCTATTCCTCTATCATACATCATATCGCATACTTCATCCATCTTATCATTCATTCCTCCACATACGTTCAATGTAGCCAAACGGGCTTCCGCAATCCACTTTTCGCCCCTCCGGGAGACAGAACGTGACGGGTGGCGAACCTCGTCGCCGGTTTTCCTCCCGGAGATTCTTCGCACCCCTGCCCCATTAAAGGGGCGCCGGGAACTCGGGGCCATTTCTTTAATATTTTGCCTCATGGTGCGAAAGTAAGTTGTGGTATTTTTTTTTTTACGCCGCTACCACACGGCGAGGAGCCGAGTCAGTTCTTTCGGCTTTGTCGCTCGTTTAGCACCACCCGGGGGACACGTGTAGGGTGGGCCTAGGATTAGGTGGTCGAAGCCTACGGACGCGAGCGACTCAAAAGGATCTTTTAGTAAATCGTCAATCCCAACACATTTAAAAGAAAATACTCGTAACTGCTTGAGAGTAAATATAAAAACCAACAGCATTACAAGTTTGCTAGCTAAGATTGCAATTATGCCTTCCCGAGTGTATTTCGTAAAGAATTAGACCGTCAATGTTACTATATTATTTTATAAATAATATTCATATAGGTTATACAAAATGATCACTAATTTAAATTGAATTATATTTCAATAAACCATAATGACATTTTTATAAGTAGCTAAATACACCTCCTCTCTCTTTTTTTTTGCGCCCAGAAGCAATTGAGAAGGGCTACCCCCGGAAAACGAGGAGGGAGGTGGTGCATGCTCTAAGCATACCACGACAGCCGGCTGTCGTGGTTATGTGGGACACACTGCGACTAACCCAACCTAACCTAAGTGCCTACCCACTAAATACCACCTGTGAGACTGGCATTGGCTTATGAGCTGCTGAGCTTCCTCTCTCCTAGCCTTTAAATTGCGTGCCCAACAGGGTCCATAACATTGGTCTCACATTATTTTATAACATCTTGTGTACATTATGGTTTAGCAATAAATGTTTGAGTTTGAAACTCTTTTCACTCAGGAACAGAACGCTGCTGAATATAGGTTTTTCCTCAAAGCTGGCAGAATTTTCCGTAATCGCCATTGCTGGCAGGCTTGGAGTTCGATTTTGTATAATCAAAGCCAACTAGTACAGATCGAATAGGCTTCAATGGTCTTCAGTCTTCAATTCTAAAAAAAAAATATGTATTTTACAAACGTTACATAATTAAAATAATGTACAGCATAATATTCCAATATTTAAGTCATTGTGCAAATATGACAAGAAACATTGAATGATATTTTTTTCACGTCCGTAGTGACCTTATTGAGTGAGTCATTTACACTAAGTTTTTATTATCTCGTTTTTTTTCTGTTTGTATGTTCGGTACAAATTTTTCAATCGATTTTAAACAACCGATGACAAAAAAAAACCCTCTGTCCTGGGAAGAACCAAAAAAGTAGTATTTAGTAGTTTTTAATAACCTATGTTGTACAAATAATTAGTAGCGATCACCTGTTCTTGTAAAAAAAAAAAATTATTTTCGGCGACTTCCTTGTAACACATGAATTGAGACTTAAAAAAAGTTTGTACCTATATTTTGTTTTACATAAATTTAAATGTATATTAATGTTTTATTTTCTCTAAAATATATTTTTGTGTTAAGTTATAAATTGCTCTTATGGCCTGTTACTGCAAACTTCTGTATTGTTACGAAATAAACATTTTTATAACCTAAATAGTATCTTATTTTAATAACCAAAAATAAATGAGAGAACACTGAATCATCAACTTTGTGAGACACATTTTATTTATGTAATTGCGCTATATGTACACGATCGATTTCTTAATGGAGTTATCTACACTATCTACACTACTATTATAAAGAGGAAAGATTTGTTTGTTTGTTTGTTTGTTTGTTTGAATTGAATAGGCTCCGAAACTACTGGACCGATTTGAAGAATCCTACATTATCCCTGATGAACATAGGCTATATAATATTTTCAAGAATGTTAGGGATCCGTATGAAAACTTCGTTAATGTAACCCAAGGTGTGAAAAAAATACCAAAAAGAATCCTTATATCGCATACGTTGCGGAAACTATTGATAATAGAGCAAAGTAATGTACTTCAGTTTTATAGAGGATATCAATATTTACAAAAAAGTCTGCAATACCATATGTTTAACTATTACAGTTATGTCACAATAACTACTTTTTCATGTTAAAATGTGAAATAGTAACGCCGGTACAAACTAGGCCGCATTATTCGTATCAGTACCTGTATCATGCATAACCACCAATTACGTTAACCATGTAATTTTAGTAACATATTTCCCTTTTTAAATCTTTGTTAATTCGGCAACCGTCCGTCGTGATGTCTCTCTCGAAGTTCGCATGTATTTTGCATCCGTGTAGTTGCTGTGTAAGGTGTGGGTTTCGGAAGAGACGACTGAGGGAAACAAACCAAGACATGGGCAGCAGCATCTTCCTAATAACAAAATTGAACTGAGTTTGCCAATCCGACTCCCAAACGTGATAACTAAGGCAAACATCCCCCTAAGAGGCAATCTGTAGGGGATGGGGGAGGCTTATATTCAAAAGTGGACTTTAGATAGGCTGTAACGGTAACTTTGAGGAAAAATATTTATTTTAGTAAGGTGTAAATAATACACCGAAAGTAAGCGTATATTTTCGTTGCAGCCAATTGACGTGAAACCATTTAAACCACAAAATGCAGAATGCTTGTGCAGCGTATCATTGGAAGCGGACTTTATGCTGAAGAAAACGTAAGTATGGTAGTATTAATAAAACTGTGATGTAATCGTATTTCAGTACACCTTACTTTTACTGCAATAAGCGATAGAAAATCTTTAAACTTCGTTAGCAAAACATGTCGCGTAATCAATGGAAAAAGGAATGTTTTGATATCTCACTTCTACGCAGTTCTCAAGTATCCATATATAGTAAGGATAGTGTAAAGTGCTTGGGAGAGGAACGTTAAATATTCCTAACACTCCTCAAATTAATTTAACTCTATCACCGGCAACCGGGCATCTTGCGGTAATATAATTATCAAAAAGTTAATTTAATTGAGTATAATCTGTAAAACTAGTAATATATAATTTATAAAAGCAAATCACATATTTAATTAGAACCATATTAACTTGGAAACTATGTACGTCTACGTTTTATAACACGCGAGTATCACAATTTACAATATATTGTAACTAAACGATGAGCGCTCTGCTTAAACTTCACTTAATTTAAACCCCACCCCACTGGCACAAATGGAAGGACGAAAGAAACACTTTATTTTTGTATAAACCATTGATGTATACTATATAATGTGTATACAATACAATCTCTATATATAAAAATCTATTACTGGTAGTTAGTCTCGCTAAAACTCCAAAATAGCTCGACTGATTTGATGACTTTTTTGTATGTTTGAATGAGTCCCTGTATAGTATAGATTCACAATTGAACTCGGTGGTCGGTATCAGGATCATAGGCATAAATCCAATATTCATCACTGCTGAAAAGACGTCGTAGACGTGATTTGACTTTCCTCGGTGGAATCGTTGAAGAGTTTTTCCTACGCCGCCTTATGATCATTAAAATGAAAATGCGGCATTAGTATGTATGTACGCTCTTTTGAATTGTTGTCATTGAAATGCCTATTGATTTTTTCGATCTCACGATATGTCACATGACTTTTCTTTGAGAAATTAATTTTCGTAAACTACTTGATTTCATTGAAATAACGCTGTGACTCATCATTATCACTAATATCATTTGTATTATTAGACGCTGTGACTAAACAATTTCAATCCTACATTTTTCAATTGATTATGGCTTCTAAATTCAAAAATATTCGAACGCGATACTCGAGGATATTGGCGGTAAATATGTATGTAAACGACAAAATATGATATTTCTTCTATCGACATTTTTGGGCTTTAATCAAGAAGTAATGCGACAAAAAATAGAGAATGTAGTTTGAATATTTAAGCTATTTTTAATGAATCCTAATTTAATAATAATAAAAAGTCTTTTGAAATCCTAATTCATTCGTCAGTAATCAAAGTACAATATAGTAGTGCAAATAAATTTTACTATTAATCCAAATTTTGAGTAAGTAGGCGTCCGGATAAAAGAAAGTGGTTATATCGACTGAAATCATGTATAACATTGTGTTGAAAGCTCCACCTAAATTTTTCCAGAGGTTTCTTATATATATAATTAAATCATAAGGGAATCAGAGGTTTGCAAAGTAAGCTGTGATTATGTGTGCTGTTGGTGGCACAATTATTTTTATACGAATTACATCTCATATTTACAGTTACAGATTGTGTTCACTATTGGTTAATTAAAATAAATTGAAAAATTACCCAATAATGTCCGATAACGCTATCTGAACATTATTTTTCTACCGACTTCAAAAGGGAGACGGTACTCAATTCCACTGTATGTTTTTTTATGTGTGTTACCTGTTACCTCATAACTTTTTACTGGTTGAACCGTTTTCGATGATTCTTTTTTTATTTGAAAACTGGTGCTTCACATGTGGTCCCATATTAATTGAACAAGGTCAGACCCATAGTTTTTGAGTTATTCTTAATAATTTATATTGAAGTCGGTTGTACAAAATTTTTTATTTTTTTCTATCCTACTTTGGTATCTGGTTTTATGCATAGTCCCTGGGACCGTTATCTCAGTTATGAAATGGAATGCCTCGTTTAAGTACTTGTAAAAGTGCCCTAGGTGGTAAGACTTTTTCTGCCTGCAAGTCTGTCTAAGTAGGTACCACCTGCTTACCTATTTTTTTTATAGGATAGGATGATAAACGAGCACACAGTCCACCTGATGGTAAATGGTTGCTGTGACCCATAGATATCTACATTTATCCGCAATAAAGAATCAAAATGGAGATGCGTCATCACCCGTGAGGACTAAGATGGAATGCCCTACCAGTAAAATGAGTCTCCGGTTCTCTACACTCATCATACGAAACACAGCAGTGTCAAGCTGCCATTTTACGCTGGTATTCTGTGTGAGCGTGGTCCTTCCCCGGTCGAGCCGACCCATTCGTGCTACAACTATACTATTAATATAGCTGTAGCATGGCTCTACCACGTATTGTATTTCTATATTCTATGTTTTTATAGTATATATATTTCTGCCGCCAAATAACAATGTTTGCACTGACGCGTTCCGCTCTGAAGGGTAAACGGAGTCATTCTAATTATAGGCTGTGAAGCATTCCATATTAGTCCTCAAAGGTGACAAAGCATCTTTAGCCTTCTCTATTTGTAGTTTACTACAGGTATCCATGGACTGCAGCAGTCATTTACGATCAGGTGAAGTGTGAGTTCGTTTGCCACTTCAGTGTTTTAAAAACAGGTTATCTCGTATATGGGTTTCATAAATAGGTTTTGCATCCCTTCTATCCTGTATTGAATGATTTGATGAAACTTAAAGAGATTATAATATTATACGTTTCGTATGGTGAGTGTAGAGAACCGGATATCCTTTTTACTGGAAACGAGCCATTTCAACTCAAGTCTTCAGAGGTTACAACGCATTTGCATTTTGATTCTTAATGGAGCATAAATATAGATCTCTATGGGCCACAGCATCTACTTACCACCAGGTGGACTGTGTGCTCGTTTGTACCCTTATTCTGTTAAAAAAATTCTTAATCGTTTTCCATACACGATTTTTGTTTATTCGACTACTGGATTTTAATTCCATTGCCGCCTTTTAAAGAACGCGCTTACTAAGTATGAAGACTTAGAAAGATGTGCCCTTGACACTTGGTAGAGCCGTTCGTAAGCACAGCACTCAAGGTGATGTGGCTCCAGATTTCCAGTTTGTCAGATTCGAGCTCGCTATATTCGAAACATCTAAATAAATAAAATAAATAAAACATCATAGAAAATAATATTAAATTATCAATAAAACATCTTAAAATGAAATCAACTTTACTATTTTTCCCTCAAAATAGGGTTAAATAGCCTCTTTGATTTTATTTATTCATTACATCATTCATTACAGCCAATTATTATTCCACTGATGAACATAGGCCTTCCCTTAAGATTGCCTCATAGAAGGGAATATTATTTGTCATAGTTGCCACTCTTGGCAGGCGGCTTAGGAACTGCAGTTTATTTATTGAGTTTTTATCAGCAAGATGGTGGTGCCCATCTCTTGTTTTATTTCTCCTCTGTCGACTCTTTTGACACCCACGGGATGGTACGAGGTAATTAGGACCTTATTACCATCTGTTTAGGCCTTATCGCGACTTTAGAAATAAATCGAGTGGACTGTATTAATAATAGGTTTAAGGCCGTTAAACATCGTAAAAAACGTATTATATTAAATGACTACCGTCTAGGTCGGGGATCAACTTCAAACGATTTCATCAATTATTGTTTAAATATAGGTACCATGTCACTTATTGTTTTAATAAAGCGGAGACTTTGGATTTCCGCTCGTATACCTTTTATTATCACCCGAAAATTTAGTTTAAATACAGTAGTCAAATGTTGTGTATATATTTTATCCGTCTACAGCAAAGCCAAAGGAGGATTATGTTTTAATTTTGAATGTGATTTTAGTAGTATATCATCCCTTATATTATTTAGAGCAGGGGTTCCCAATTTTTTTTTGCCAAGGAACCCTAATTGATTATACTTTTCCTAGCGGAACGCTACCTTGATAAATGGAAATTTGCCTACCTTGAAAAAGGTATAAATGAAAAACAATTAAGTTTTTATGAAATTATTTTTGTACATTTACTGTGAATATGTAGGTAGGTACATAAAGTAATAAAACGTACAAAAAATTTCATTCGTCACATTAAATTCATAAAAACACGTTTGTGAATTTAATGTGACGAATGAAATTTTTTTACATATTTTCTTAAAATAGCATTAAAATTAGGCTTAATGTCCGACAGTTGAACGCGAAGATCTGGAGCTGCATCCAGTCTATTTCTGTACTTGCTTTTGGTGTAAGCATATGCGGAAAAACCAGTCTCGCATCGGTAAGTCGTCACAAACGGTAACAGTAATGTGATGGCTCTATTAACAATTTCTGGGTATTCATCTTTGAGTCCAATCCAAAAGGCGTTTAAATCAAAAGTTCCTTCTTCATACTTTTGTTTTAGCGTTGATGAAAATTTGATGTCAATCAAATTCTCATACTCTGACACCGACAGCATCGAATGTTTGGTGTGATTTACAAACGGATTCTGCACCCAGTCCATGTCCTGCAACTGCTCCGGAAAATACTCATGCAAAGATTTTGTAAGGCTTGTCAAATGCTCATGTATATTCTTTTCCACGTCTGAAGATACCCGCAGCTCATTTTCTTTTAGAAAGTCATTTAATATTGTGAAACATTCGTAATTATGATTTTCAACACATTCAATCCAGAACGCAAGCTTGTTTTTCAGTGAAGACATTTTATCATTTACTGTAAATTTTGTTGTAGCTCGTCCCTGTAATGCCTTGCAGATTACGTTGAGCTTATCGAATATATCAGCTAAATAAGCCAATTGCATCAACCATTGCTCATCATGCAGCAGTTCAACAAGCTTATTAACGTGTGCAGAAACTGGTTGTTTGGTAAAGAATATCTTAAGCTCGTCGTGCAATTCAAACAGCCTTAATAGAACTCTTCCTCTTGAAAGCCATCTTACTTCCGTGTGAAGAAGAAGTGATTGATGCTGACTTCCTATATCCTCACACACTTTTTTAAAAAGCCTCGACTGGAGTGGACGTGATTTAACGTAGTTTACAATTAGTACTGCTTGGTCGAGAACTGTCTTGAGCTCGTATTGCATTTTTTTTGCGACAAGGGCATGGCGATGTAAAACGCAGTGACTGCTACTACATTTAGGTGCAACCTCCTTGATTCTTGTTACAGTGCCTTTTATTTTGCCAACCATAGCTGCCGCTCCATCACTACACACGTCAATACATTTGTTCCAATCAATATGGTGCTTAGTCATGTAACTATCGATAACTTTAAAAATTTCTTCTCCGGTTGTGTTGGTTTCTAAAGGATTACAAAGAAACAAATCCTCTTCAATAGATCCTCCAAAGGGATATCTCACAAAAACAAGCAGTATTGATAACCCGACGACATCTGTACTTTCGTCCAGTTGCATTGCAAACATCTCGCTGGTCTTCAATCTACTAATTAATTCATCTTGAATATGGTCAGAAATCTTATGAATTCGATCAGAAATGACGTTATTTGAACACTGCACTGCTGACACTTTCTTTGCTGCTTCTTCTCCAAGTACACAAGTGACAATTTCTGTCATACATGGTTTTATTAAATCCTCTGCAATCGTGTGTGGTTTACCAGCACGAGCGATTTTGTAACTTAGCAGAAATGATGCCTCTGTTGCATTTTCATTATCGGTCTTTACAAATTTTTGTATAGCAGCTGCACCAGTTCTACGCACTTCTTTGTCTTTCAAAAAAGCTGACGCTTTTATCTTTCAGTTCTGGGTGGTTCGTGTCAAGATGTCGTTTAAGCTTTGCAGGTATCAGTGAGCTATTACTTATTATTTTGTTGCAAATCACACATTGTCCATCCGAGTTCTCAGTCATTCCCACAGGAACAAATCCAAAGGACAAGTAGGATTCGTCGTATCTTCTCTTTTTTGAAGAAGTTTTCTCCTGGGTTGCAACTCTTTTGGTGATTGTATGTTGTATATTCAGTCCGGCACTAGGGTCTTGTGTATTTAGCAAACCCTGAAAAGAATTGACAAACAATGATAACCACCATAGCCATACGTATAATCGACAATAAATAAAATTAGTAAATTTAGTAAATAACTTGTATCACAGTAAATTACCCAAATAATTGTAAAAAAAACTTATGCATAACTTTCTTACCGACGATCCAGGAACATTTTCTGAAATATTTTCAATACACACTGCTGGTGGCTCTGAATTTAATGAAGAATCCGAAATCCTTTTGCCACTTGTGAGGCGCCCCGTTTTGAGCCAACTTTCCATTTTGAACTACCTACAATAAAAATAACACGTGAATATATCTCTCGTATTTTATTTCGAAAATGTGTCTACAAATAAACAAAAACATTGTGACTTACCAGTAAAAAAATTCCAGATCAATAGGTACCCAACAACAGGTATTTTTTCACTGCAGCTATTCACTAATTCAATAATTGATATACGTGTGCTCTTATCGCGATCTAGACCGGTATAATCAGCCCCGCCGCGCCGTCGCGTCGCTGCAACATGGGCGCGCGGGGCGTGGGGGGCTGTGCGCGCCAGTGTCTCCATATACACGGTAATTACCGGTTTTTTAAAATTTTATTAGTAATTAATTAAAAGCAAACATATTTGGACTTGGTTTGGTTCATAATGTTGTATTTTTCTTAGAAAAGTTACACGGTAATTTACACGGTAAAGTTTTAGTAAATCCACCGTAATTTTATCAAGAAACACGGTATTTTTACCCTTGCAACACGGTAACTCTCGATTTACATATGGAGACATTGTGCGCGCTGTCACTATTTAGTAATCTGTGGCGCTGTACTACTTCGCCCGCACGCCCTGCCCCTATCTCGTGCGTAAACAAGTCGGTGCACGCGAGCGAACAACGTTGGTCACGAAACGTGTGATAATATTTTTTACGGAACCCTTGCGGCCTTTCCACGGAACCCCAGGGTTCCGCGGACCACCTTTCGGGAACCGCTGATTTAGAGCACTAAATTGTAATTGGTACTAGGATTTGATTTGTTTATTCATTATGTATGTTGTATTACTTTAGTTTAATTTTTAACTTTTAATATAGAGTAGCAGTTTTCATGTGGCCGTAACTTACTTGTTATTCTGTTTTCTTTTAGCACTTCCTTAGAACCATATGACTCGGAACAAATGGCGCGCGACTTCCTCATTCAGTTTTCCAATCAGATCTTCACCGTTGGACAACAACTGGCATTTTCATTTCAGGACAAAAAAGTTTTATCATTGATTGTGAAGAATTTAGAAGGTAAGTTTCTTGCATATAAAGATATTATGTAAAATTTCATGGGGTTGCAATTCGAAAGAAGTTTTCCTTTGCGATCCGGTTTATTATTTACTAAAACTAAGTGAATATAAAAAATATGTAGTAAGTTGCCTACAAAAATAAATGTTCAATTTATATCGTCTTAAAAATCAATAACTACTTCTCCCGTCAGTTAAACGTAGTGTTGTAAAAAAAAATCTTCGATATTACATACTGACACTTCAGTTTTATTCATATGGGTAATAGAAGTCAGGTATAAAATTAACTATAAATAATTCGGACATTGCAATCGCTTGTTCATTATAACTATTGCGGGAAACGTGAAAATCTTACATAACTGTGAACTTTACGTAATTTATTACACTTCTTAGCCGTGGATGTACAAGCGTTGGCATCAGGAGCAAATGTAGTACCGCGTCGATGCAGAATGGGAAGATTGTTGCCCGATGCCTGTATCCAGTTCGACAAAGCAGAAAACTCTTCCCTCAACTTAGTTGGGAAGGCTAAAGGGTAAGCAGCAGAAATTTTCAAGAGATAGCACAACACAGGCATTGCTCCAAAGTCACACATAAATAAGTTTTATTTTGTTATAATTTCTGTGTTTGATGCACCATACTTAAAATCTTACAAATTATGTAACAACACGCAATTCTCAGGAGTCACAATGTTTAAGTAGCTTTCTTTTGGTGATATTGTCACTACAGCTCATGGAGGCTGCAGTCGCCACTTAATAACATAGATAAGGGAATGCGATCCCGTTTGACACTTTTTCGTATTAATAATTTAAAATTTTGTACAGCCGACTTCAATATAAGTTATTTAAGAATTACTTAAAAACTATTGGTCTGACCTTGATCAAATTCATATGGGACCACACGAGAACTATCAGCTTTCATATAAAAAAAGAATCATCGAAATCAGTTCACCCAGTACAAAGTTATGAGGTAACAGTAACACACAAAAAAATACAGTCGAATTGAGTACCGTCTCCTTTTTGGAAATCGGCAGAAAATATGATGTAATGATAAATATAAATAATGGATTAAAAATAGAATAGATTAAAAAAATTACGTTAAATCAGTAGAGTTCCGATTTAGCAAAATATATTAAAAAAATATATTTAGTACTTTACATGTGAATATTGAAATATTTTATAAATTAAATTATGTTATTTATTCCATAAAAAGGAGGAATTAGGTCTTGAAAACTATAAAAAAAAAGTACTTTTTCTAAAAGCTTAAAAATCTCAATACAGAAAACAACCACGACAATCCATTATCAACCCCGATTGGGACTTCGGCAAAATGGGGATCGGTGGTCTGGACAAGGAGTTCAACGCTATTTTCAGACGTGCGTTTGCATCACGTGTCTTCCCTCCAGAAGTTGTGGAGCAATTGGGTAATGTGATCAATGTATTATTGCATAAAATAATAAAAGATCTTACATCATAGGATCATTATTTTATCTTAGAGATCTGCATACGCGAGAAAGAACACTAACAGTTTTTTTTAATTGTATATATAATAGGTATATAGTTTTTATTTATTAGACATTTACATACTGTTTAGTTTTTCCTTATTTTTTACTTTTATTTTGGAAATTAAACTAAGGAAACTATTAAAAAGTCTAAACTATCGGATAAACCTTTTGCTGCTATCTAGTAATATATGTTTTAAATATTTGCTACTGCTTGAGTATTATTATTATTATATTATATTGATTATTATTTGCAGGATGCAAGCACGTAAAAGGTATCTTGTTATATGGACCTCCCGGCACGGGTAAAACCTTGATGGCTCGTCAAATCGGAAAGATGTTGAACGCTCGCGAACCAAAGATTGTAAACGGTCCTCAAATATTGGACAAATATGTTGGTGAGAGTGAAGCCAACGTCAGGCGATTGTTTGCCGATGCGGAGGAGGAGGAGAAGAGGGTATGTCGCTTAAGAGTTAATATATATTCGTCTACTTATTTAACCGAGTAGTGCCGGTGTAAGAATATCCGCTACCTCATATCCAGTAGGTGTCGCAAGAGGCGACAGTAGAAAACTGAAAAAGCGTCTTTTTGATAACTACTTGAAATATTTAAAAAAAACTGCTAACAATGACAAAACTCGCTTATAAGGCAATCTATGCGGGAGGCCTATATTCGGTAATGAACCAAATGCACCAAATACAGAATGCAACCAGAAGAACAATATCACATACTAGCTTTTGCCCGCAACTTCGTCCGCGTGGATATTATACTTTAAATCATAGGCGATCCATCAACAATCGCACTTTCATAGTAAATTCCATCACACTCTTTAGAGATGATTTCCATGATCAAAGCTATCCTATTTCCTTCCCCGGGACTTAAACTATCTCGATACCAAATTAGCAAATTTCATCTAAATCGGTTTAGCGGTTTAATCTTCAAGAGGTACATTTGCTCACGCGGCGATGAGCGATGCTTTCCCCCACCTCGCCCGCAGTACGCCAGACTGGTCTGACCACACAATTTTATATCGTCGTTACTGCAAAACATTTGACCAAATTACGTAGTTTAAAAGACAAAGTTTATCTACTTTAAACATCAGAAGCGATTAAAGTATTTATTTTGAATGTGTATTGGAAATAAAGTATCAAATTTTATTGTGTTTATGGTTCACTATTTTGGTAATAATAGCTTACACATAAAAGATATATACTGTCGCGGACTTTTTTGTAGAACTATTTAGGAGAAACAATTCCACCATACATTATATTTGTGTAACTCTTACAGTTTTTGCACCGCACGCCAAAATAGCTCGCATATGACAGATTTTTTTCCAACTTACTTAACACTTATCGTTATATTTGACCAATTTACACATTATCTTTATTAATTATAGTAACCATATTATTGTAAAGTTTCATTAAAATAAATTCAGTTGTTTTTGCGGTAGTTTTTTGTTACTCACAAACATCCATACATCCTCACCAATTTTCACATTTATAATATTAATAGTATATATGTATTGCCTCTTGATTAATTTGTAAGTATTTAACAGTGTAACAGATAAAAGCACATTCGTTTTCGTTTTGAAGTGTGGACCCAACAGCGGCTTACATATCATCATATTCGACGAAATCGATGCTATCTGCAAGGCCCGAGGCTCTGTGGGTGGAAACACTGGGGTACACGACACTGTGGTCAACCAGCTGCTCTCAAAGATCGATGGTAATTATCCTTAAAGTAAATAAAACCTTCAGCTCCGCTTTTATTTCTGAAATGCGATAATTTTAAAATATTTTTTATAGATTAATATTCTCAAGGTGTTACATGCAAAATTTGACATGGCCTATATAGGCCAAGTAATAAATATAATGGCCTAAGCTTGTCGCTGCCCTAGAGCTCGCACCTAGAAAGGTGAAATTGTTGTATTGCAACATGTAGAGAAATATTAGTGTACAGGTACTGCTTATTTTATTTTTCGTTAATAAAGACATGTGTCATATGTTGTATGCGAGAAGACGAATTGTCGTGAAAATCTAATATTATACTACGTACTACTGCAATCCTCCACATCCGCCACATGCTTTGTTAAGTCATAAAGATATTGGTATCCGCAATTAAATGCATATTTCAAATATAAAAGATCCTCATTAAACTATAAATATAAGGGGAAAACTATATTCAATAATTTAAAATAGGAAAAGTGTAATTTCACTAGAATTTCGAATTTTAAAATTGAATTTTTTTTATGTAATAAGGGTGACCAACGAGCACACAGTTCATCTGATCTTAATTGGCTACTTTGCCCATAGACATCTACATCTATCCTCGATTAAGAATCAAAATGTAGATGCGTTGTCACCCGTGAGGACTAAGATGGAATGCCTCGTTTCCAGTAAAAAGGTTATCCGGTTCTATACACTCATCATACAAAACAACAGTATTAAGCTGTTATTTTACGCTGGTGTTCTGTGAGAGCGTGGTCCTTGCCTGATCGAGCAGATCCATATTTACTGGAACCATAATATATCTGAAGCTATATTATAGTTGGCTCTACCACAGCAGATAATTTAGTACATTATCTAAATAGCTTGTTGGAAAGTGAAGTACAAATTCAGCAATTTGTGATCTTAGATTAACGATTCGATTATTGAAAACAAATGTTTATTGTATATAATACACCACATGTACCGGACGTAAAGCTAGACTATCATTGGATCATTATACTGGCAAGCGCAGTGCGGCTGATATTTGCAGACCGTGGATGATGCACAGTATTGATGGGAGACCTCTATTCAGCAGTACTTAGTACTTGTGATATGTTGCAATGATATTGACTAGCGTCTTTCATTCTATTTCTATTCATTACCAATCTCTTATGACTATGAGAATACCTATTGTGCCGTCAAGCAGCAGTGAACCTACTTATGTGTTCCGGTATAAGGGCTTGAAGGCCATAGAATTACAAAGTGAAGCCTTGAACGGCAGATTTTAGGTAGCGGTATTTTAGGAAAGCAAGCTCCTAAAGCATTGAAAGTTTTGAAATTCTCAAATATACACACCTGTCAAGTGGTTAGGATAAGTATTTAAAAAAAAAAAGATTGTTTATTTATTATACTATACAAAGGCTATCGATTTTAAGATACTTGTGAAAATTGGGGGTGATGAATGGCAACACATGATGTACCACTGATTGGAAACCTTTTTATATTATTGTGTGTCTATAGTGTGCAATAGCTTAAAGAATAACAGTTGTGAAACGCCTTTGATGTTATGCGGTGCCGCCGCCCATGTAAGTATTTACTATTTACGTCGTCGCCGCAAATATGCTAAGGGTTGTCAGGAAATTGGGAGTAAAATAATTTTAGATAATACTGATTAACATTATGTACGTACTTATAAGTTAAAAATATTTATTGAACAAGATAATTTTAGTACTATAAGAAAAAATACATTTACACTGTGTAGCACTGCCAAATATTTTCGTGACACTTTCTTTTTATAGATGTTTTCAGTTTTCAATTGTTAAATTTAATTATGATGTCTTGTATTCGCATTCGGATAAAGAATTTTATCATAAGAAAAATGAGGGAAACATAAGCATGGCGGTCATTTGAATTCAACTTTACATACTAACTCGTATAACTATAACAGTAATTTACCATTACAGATTTATATTTTGCGAAAACGGCATTTAAAATGAGTTAAATAAATTTTACAAAACACGCTCGCGTCAACCACAAGTATTGTACAGCAGACTTAGTGGAGTGTGCTGGTACAAGGTCGCGCCGCCCCCTGCCTCACAAAGCCTTCGCCGTTGTTCTGCACAAGTACATTCGTTTCCCAAGTGATAGTCTCTTTAAACCGTGGCAATAGTCACTTACTATCAGATGAACTGTTAGTTTGCTTGTTACTTTCATTTCATAAAGAAGTTAAACAAAAATATTTTTTCAGGCGTTGATCAACTAAACAACATTTTGGTGATCGGTATGACCAACCGACGTGACATGATCGACGAAGCTTTGCTCCGTCCCGGCAGACTTGAGGTCCAAATGGAGATCGGCTTGCCCGACGAAAACGGACGCGTTCAGATCTTGAACATTCACACCAAACGCATGCGAGAGTACAAGAAGATTGCCGAGGATGTCGATAATAATGTTCGTTGAGGAAAAGTTCCCTACTTTATAGTTTATACGGATAGGGGCATGAGTCGTAAGCACGAAGTGGCAGTATTTTTTTTTCGTTTCTTATTTAAAAAAGAAACGTTACCCCCACACTAGGATTTTCTCCTGTATCGTGGAGGCAGTTTACAAACACAAATTGCACAAGCACAAACACCCAGACCCGGAACAATTATTTGTAGGCCATACAAATACTTGTTCCGTGCGGGATTCGAGCCTGCTGCCCCAGCGCAGCAACCCGTTGCTAAGCCACTGCGCCACGGAGCCGTCAATTGGTTGGGAAAAGGGAGCTATGATGCAAACGCTCGGAGGAATGTTCAATGTTATCACCTCGAAACTTTTTGCATCACCAAAAAACAATGATAAAGTATTTGCTCACGACTCGTGCTACTTTTATAAATAACTGATTTTAACTTCACTTTTCCAGGAGGGTGATGATCTTCCAGTATACATTTTCTGTCTGTTTCTTTCTAACCTCCTTCCTGTAGCCTATATAAATTGCTAAGGATTTAAAATTCTCTATCTCTGGAGCGTCTTACATCTTATGCCAATAATAACAATATGATCATTTTTGACATGATTATCAATGAGAACTAATAATCTTTCGCTCAATAGATATCGCTAGTTGAGACCAGTTGAGACTGAGGTGAAGTTATTTGTCACACAGTGTCATTATAATTGAAATTTTGCGTTTTATATATTTAATGTTTTCCGGCTTCTAGAGTGTGCACGAAACAATACCTCAGTGGTGTGCACTTTAATTTATACACATTTTAACTTTTTTAATGTACTTACGTTTAGGAATATTAAAAGTTTGTTTTACCCATTTCTATTATATTTTATTACACTTTACTACCAATTTAAATTTCCCGCCGTGAGATCTTTCAAATATTTTATCTCATTCAAAAGTGGCACCGCCCTAGTGGTAAAAAAAGGTACCACTAGGACTGTAATATAGTTTTGTTCAATTTGGATTGCCTGTGTTTTAATTAATTTAATACAATATCTCTGTGGTTAGTGGTCTGAATTTGCTAATTTATTTATCGAAAAAGTATAATTTCACAGTAGTTCCATATAAATTTTAACGAGGTCTGATTATAATTAAAGTCGCCTATTTTTTTTTTATTCAACTATACATATTATAGCCACCAAAAATGCGTGAGTGTAGTCGAACACTCGGTTGGAACGAAGTTCCTTGCGTAGTATATTATTATTGATAAACGTAGGTATTATATTATTGATTAAGAAATACAAATGAATGAATTACTAGCGTCGAAATAAAATAATATTTCTTTCATGGCAAGAAAAGAAAAAGTGCGAGGGAGATGGATATTATTCCATCTCACTTCCTTATTTTGCCGCCAAACCCGTACTGTCTGATAAGAAACTTCGTTCCAATAATAAATTATCATGGTCAGGTTCATAGGTTTTTAGTAATTATTTATTTGTAATCTAAATTTTGTAATCTTTCTAATATCTCTAAAATTTATGCAAATATAAAATGTTTTATTTTTACATCAAATACTATAAAATATTTTATTTTACAATTTAGTAGTTACTGAATGAGAAAATCTTATTATTTTTGCTATTGTATCAGGTTCGAGGGATCATGCAAAAACTTAAAATTACTTCAACAACTCCTTAAGTGTTTTGAGACATGTGGTGGCGACGTAGGGGTGAATTTATATGTACACTAATTGAACTATAGTTGATGAATACAAACAGCTTAGAGTTGCAATTTATTAGGAAGCTAACAAGTCCAAACTATATGTTATTGTGGACCCAAAGATGATAATGAACCCTTTTCTTCATTCCAGGAGCTAGCAGCACTCACAAAGAATTTCTCGGGAGCAGAGATAGAAGGTTTAGTGCGGGCTGCACAGTCAACTGCTATGAATCGACTCATCAAGGCCTCAAGCAAGGTGGAAGTAGACCCAGAGGCCATGGAAAAACTCATGGTAGAGCGCACGGACTTTCTGCATGCATTGGAAAACGATATTAAACCGGTAAGGAATATTTTTATGACAAAGAACTAAAATTTAATAAACATAACACTTTGTTAAAATCTATAAAAATAAATAAAATTGAAGTGTCTGTTTGTAATGCCGAAATAACAACTTTTTACCATATGCATATGAAAGTATATACGGTACTTATAACAAAAATACGATTTTTAAAAATTTTGTCTGTCTGTTTGTTCCGGCTAATCTCCGAAACGGCTGGACCGATTTTGACCGGACTTACACTGACAGATAGCTGATGTTACAAGAAGAAACTTAGGCTAATTTTATTTTAGAAAAAGAATTAGGGTTCCGCGTAAAAAGTTAAAACCCATAAAATCTCATCGTAATAAATTACGATTGGCGAAGTCGCGGGGTTCAGCTAGTTATTATATATGGCTGGTAGAGCCACGCTGTTTCATATGATGTGTGATGAGAACCGGATACTCTGCATTATAATTTTTTATTGAGGATAAATCTAAGTGACTATAGGTCTGTGACTCATTTGTCACGCTTACTTCTGTAAAAATGTCCTCTGGGTTCGAATTCCAACTTTTTGTGAAATTAATTTGTCTACATTTTTACACATTCCAATACCTACAACTGAATAGCTTTATTTACGTGTAGTAAAATTATTACTATTAATTGTGTATACCTATTTTTTTAGGCATTTGGTACAGCTGCTGAAGCTTTGGAGCACTTCCTATCCCGCGGGATTATAAACTGGGGCCCTCCTGTGACATCAATTTTGGAAGACGGAATGCTTTACATTCAACAAGCGCGCGCAACTGAAGCCAGCGGTATGTTGATATCACTAATATGTATAATATTATAATTCAGTAATAGAAATTTAAAAAATGCTCTTATAAAATTGAGTTCTTTGTTTTTTGCGCCCAGAAGCAATTGAAAAAGGCTAGCCCCGTAAACGAGAGGGAGGTGGTGAATGCTTTATGCATACCACAGCCGGCTGTCGTGGTTATGTGGGACTCACTGTGACTAACCTAACCTAACCACACTAAGTGTACCCACTAAACACCACCTGTGCGACTGGCATTGGCTTATTAAACCTTTCTGCCGAATCGGAAGCGACCCTCTTTTGGGGAAAGGGGGCACAGGCGGCTGCGAGCCGCTGAGGGGGAGCCTACTTAGGCAAATTTAAGAAGAGACGGCCTGAGCCGCCAGGAGGCAGTTCGGGTCGGTTGAAAGTTTGTTTGGTGGGTCCGAGAGAGAGTTTCTCGGCCTGCGGACTTGATAGCGAGAGGGGAGTGGGGCTGCATAAGTAGCTGCCTCACGAATGAAATGATTGGAGTAAGACTCTGAGGCTTTGAAGAAGTTCTCAGAGAGTGTTTTTAGAAATTGTTGAATTGTAGGGAGCTTTAGGTCCCGATGGAGGTCGGCGTTACGGACGTACCAGGGTGCGTTCGTAGCTCGACGACAGAAGAGGTTTTGAACTATTTGGAGTTCATTAATGATTTTGGGAATCATAAAATTGAGTTGAAGGTTAAATGATAAAGCTTTTATTGAATTGTAACTTAATTAGGTAACAATATAGCCTTTAAAACAAATGTATGTGGAGCCGAAGACGCCTCCGTGGTGTAGTGGTTAAGCATTGACTTGCAGCGCCGAGGGCCTCTGGTTAGAATCCCGTACGGAACAATTATGTCATATAAATAGTTGCTCCGAGTCTGAATTATTGTCCTTGTGCAATTTAATTATATCAACTGCCTCCCCATTACAGGTAAAATTCTATTGTAAAACTTTTCTTAGTAAAAAATTAAAAGTAAAATTTGTCACCCTTATTCTATAAAAATAAAGATAAGCGTTCACTTTCAATTTCATAGAATGCAACCAAACCAAAGACATTAAAGTAGTAGTAGTAATAGACCGGACATCAGCAGCAAAATTGTCGTCTGTAACTTATGTCCTATAGGATATATCTCCGATTTTTGTCATTTAGTCTTAGTGACATCGTCAAAAACTCAAGACGCATTCGTTTCATATATTTAAAAAATATTTTTAAAGAAAATATGCCCGGTTGTGCATTAAGATATTGTAAGTCACGATATGGAGCAAAAAATGAACCTGATTTCGGTTTATTATCGTAAATAAAACATATATTTACCGAATAATCTTTAAATTTAATTATTTCTAGTAGATTCTTCTAGAACATTTATTTTTATTGTAATAAGCGCCCTCTGTTATCCAGTAAACGTCACAATTTAGTTACCAATGTTAAAGTTAGTGATTGACGACGTTTATCGATTGGGATTATCGATAAAAAAATATACAGGTTGCCGATTTAATTCTTTACAATATTTAAGGAGGTCAACGATACTGTACCCATACCAACAAAAATGAAGTAGCATATACCAACTATGCTAAGTAGCCTACTTTATGTGGAGAAAGGGTGGGAAATTTTTTTTTAGGCATGCTCAAGAGATTTTCTGTGTTGCTTATGAGCATGCTGAGGACTCTTGCTGTGTTGATGTTTAGCAATACAGCAAGTCTTCTCTTTTACATACCAGGCTTCATTGTCTGGTGGTTTTAGACCGGGCTTCATTGTCTGGTGTTTTTCAAGGACAAAGCTATTATAGATCTTCGCTTACAGTGATAGGAGAGGGCTATAGGTTTCTTACATTAAAAACAATGTATACTGTTAAAGATATTAGATGCAATTTTTATTGATGTGGGTAGTGTCTTTAAGTACTGCAGCTGATGAAACGTGAAATCGTGAAACGACTTTTAATTTCAGCGTTTTCCTAAAATATTTTTTCATTTGAAGTGTATTTTTGTAATAGAAACGAATTTAAAAACATAGAGGCGCTCTCTTTTTGGATTTGGCGTTTCTCGATGTGTCTTTAACGCCGACCGATCAATCATATGCTATTATTATAGCAGCAGCCGAGTGACGTCATCCAAGATGCCACCAAGGTGGCAACCAAAGTGACTGTTGTTTGAATTGATTCTTAGTTATTGGAAATTAAATATTTTATTTCATGACACTAAAGGGGTGTAAAAAGTTAATATGATTTTTTTCGTGTGATGGAAGCCATGATACAATAAAACAATCATGTATATTCCCTATTATTATATCGAAAAGAATTTCAAACTTAGTAATTTTCAACAACATTATCGATACTTTGATATCGATACGGTAACATTCCTAAAACGACGTTATATTTATTAGCGTCACCTATTGGGGAATAGCTAAAATGTTGTCTTAATAAATGCTTAGCGTTGTTTTGCTATTTTTAGCTAGACGCGCACTAGCTACACGCGCACTAGCTCAAAATTTTTGTATATAAATGTTCCCAATGCCCGCTCTATAGTATACCTATATATTTAAATCTCTTTGAAGCAAACCAAGTTTGATCCCTCCCAACTCCAGCGAAATTCTTAATTGCAATTTCAAACAATAATATTCATAGTGATCGGCGGTGACAAAAAACACTATGATGAAAGTAAAAAAAAAACTTCACATGTGTGTGGTGAACTTTTCCGTACTCCAAAATCTTAGTATTTATGTTACTTTTACTTTTTATGTGGAAATAAATAATGTTATTACACAAGAGTATCCTCTTAAATAAAACTAGGGATGTTATCGTGTGTATTAATTTTTATTATATTCCCGACGTTTCGAGCACTTTACAGCACCCATGGTCACTGTGGAACTGAGGCGTTCGACGTCCCAATGTCATAGTTAACCACGCCTACCTCCAGATTAAAATTATAAATCTGTGGTGCGACGACAGCGCCGCCACATCACATGGTCCGATCTACGCAATATTGACTTATAGTACTCGTATCTTGATATAATTGCAGTAATGTTTTTTGTTTTTTGATGTAAATAGCCTCGCGAATCATCCTTGGAAGGAATCGGTGTTCTTTAGAGAGGTTTCTTGATCTATCAAATCTGATATAGTGACGTGGGCGATCCTGTACGTGTTACAGACTGCAGACTTCCCGGAGCGTCGATGCTTCACATCAGCTATGTGTTCTTTTACGCGGGTTTTTATTGATCTTTTAGTTTGTCCATTGTAAGAGAGATCACATTCACAATGAAGCTTGTACACTCCTGCATCTTGCAGAGGGATATTACACTTGACTGATGATAAAAACTGACTAATTTTCTTCAGCGGCTTGAAGTATGTTTTAATGGAAACTTGTTGTCATACAAACCTTGCTTGACGTGTTGGAGCTCGACGGCTAAGTGTTTACTGTCACAGATACTTCGTACTCACTGAAACAAACATTTACCCATATGGTGGCGAGAATCACCGTTTAAATATCTATCTGTATGGATCTTTTTTCTATGGTTCTATGATCTTATTTCAATGGTGGGTACATCACTGACCTTCGATTTGCCGATGATATAGTCCTTACGCCAGAATCGCTGGAGGACCTAAGCGCTATGCTCAATGACCTCAATAGTGTCTCCCAACGGATAGGTCTTAAGATGAACATGGACAAAATAAAAATCATGTTTAACGCCCATGTCACACTTATGCCGGTAGTTGTTGGGAGCACTAAGCTCGAAGTTGTTGACGAATATGTTTACCTGGGACAAATAACTCGGCTGGGCAGAGTTCGGGAGATTACGACACATCTTCTCGTCGAAACTAAATTGTAGAATCAGTGCGTGTTGCCAGTGATGACCTATGGATCTGAGACGTGGTCTTTCACTGCTGGCTGTATGGCCGTAGGGCGTCCCCCCTTCCCCCTAGATGGAGTGACGACCTGGTAAGACATGCAGGAAGTCAATGAATACAGACGGCTCGGGACCGTGCTTTTTGACATTCCTTGGGGGAGGCACAGCAGTGGACTTGTGAAGGGGTGTAATGATGATGATGATTGATGATTGGTCTTTTTTCTATACACAGTGTGGCTCAAGGTGTTATCAGGATTTCGAATAACTAACACATCTAGAAATTCTAAAGAATTATTTGCTTCTAGCTCCATTGTGAACTGAATTTTAGAATTTGTGGAGTTAAGATGGTCTAAAAATGCAGTTTTATCTAAAGGTATAATTGTGAAAGTGTCGTCTACGTACCGCTTGTAGAATCTTGGATTTATGGGGGAAGTAAGAAGGGCTTTCTCCACAACGTCCTTCATGAATATATCGGTAGCAATGGGAGATACAGGTGAACCCATCGCCACACCATCTATTTGCTTGTAGAAATCTTCTTCCAACAATAGGTAGGCCAGATGTAATACACTGTTGGAGTAATACTGCCTATTCTACGGGCATGTTGTTTTCTTCCAAAAACACCAAGTTGTATACGTTACCAAAAATACACAAGCCCAATGCTCCACTTATTCCAATAGTGAGCCAAATCGATTCACCAACTTACAGATTGGCTCAATACTTAGCGAAAATAGTCTCACCGCTGAGCCGTGTAGTGGTGGTTAAGAATATCCACTACCCCATATTTTCCCGTGGGTGTCGTAAGAGGCGACAAAGGGAAACAGGCAGGAGAAGGGCAGCAGCATCTTCCTGATAACAGTAATATTACAATAAGAAACTGCGGTTGCCAACCCGCTCGCCAAGCGTGGCAACTATGCAAATATCCCCCCATGATGAAAGTTACGAAGAGACGGCGCCCAGTCCTCGGCGGCCCCGCTATTCCTTGCAACGGTGGCGACCATGGTAACGGCGGGGCAGGGGTGCTAAGAATCTCCGGTGGAGGTTCGGTTGCCACCTAAGACAACTCGACCTGGCAACATACAACGCACGCACCCTGAGGACTAACGACAAGATCCTTGAGCTGGGAGAAGAATCTCTCGCAAGCAAATACACAAGCATACAACTGTTTTTCTATTAGTGCGTATCTTTGTTCCGCTTTAGTTAACGCTTTTGACGTGTAGCATACCGGTAAACCTTTAACACTTGGTAACACTTTTACTGGCATCCACCGATACAGTCACAGGAATATTTAAGTTATAATACTGTAACACAGGAGTTCTGGACAAACAAGTTTTCAGTTCTTTTAAACATTTTTCATGATTTTCATTCCAATGCCACTCGGTGCCTTTTTGTAAAAGTTCTCAAAATAAGAGTGTTTTGTTTGATAAGTTTGGAACAAACATACCTATATAAGTTACAAAACCTAATAATCTTTCAATGTCCTTGTTATTTTGAGGTTTTGGCATATTAAGTACTGCTGATATATGAGAATCGTCGGGATATAAATTCTTGTTCAGTTATTTTATGACCTAATTATTTTATTTCCTTTAAACCAAACCGGAATTTGGTTTTGTTCAATTTTAGATTATTTTTTCTACATCGTTCAAGAACTTTAAGTCTCCAATCGTGCTCCTCTTTGTTGGAACGGAAAACCAATAAATGATCAACATACATACATACTCCTTCAATATCATCAAAATGTTCATGTATTTTTTTGTGAAACACTTCTGAAGCCGAAGTGATCCCATATGGCATTCGCACAATAATCACTTGTGTCATCTAACTGTATCTGCCAGAACCCTGATGAAGCATCTAAACTATAGTTATGCTATTGACCCAGTCAGATGGGCCCTCAACCCTAGAAATGATTTGCTGTGACTCCATTTCATCCAATTTCCATTTAAACTCATCGCTAATTGCGAATGGTAGCTTTCGTGGAGCATGCACTACGGGTACACTATTCTGCTTTAAGTGTCTCGTATATTTACTCGGTAAACATCCTAAGGTCTTAAATACGTCCTCATAATCTTTAATAGATAACGGTTCATTATTTTTAGTTTCTTGCACAGACATGACACGCCTCACTACGTCCAATTTAATACATGCGTACTTGCCTAGTATAGGAATAAAGTCTACTCCAAGTACAATAAATTCCAAAATGTACAAGCTATTTTTATAACTGACTCGTAAATTTATTTTACCAACAACGTGTATGTAGCCACTAGCCACCCGAGTACCCATTAAGTTTTGTACTACTTTTCAATAAATCTTATGTGACCCCTATACTCGATAAAAATTTTATAGACTCGATAATAATATTACTAGCTGGCCAGGCAGACGTTGTTCTGCCCTTTCCGACGACCCTTCCTTTAAAAAATCCTTAAACTCGCAATAAAAAATATTGAAGGTCACTTATCGGGATAAAAAGTACCCTATCTCTCAAGTTGGAGCAAACTGTACATAGTGTGCGAAATTTCATTGAAATCAGTTCTGTAGTTTAGGAGTTCATCGCGGACAAACAATGTGACACATAATTTTATATATAACGATTTTATTGACATCCGCTCCGGTATCAATTTTAAAACATATTTGTACATGATTAATTATTAATTTTACATTCCAATCAATACGGCTTTAATAAGTTTATTACCTGTTCATCTAATTCTTCTATATAATATACACCACACACTCGTGCAAACTGATTCATCTTTGAACAGCGCATGCATCGTTTACCAAATGCAGGACACTTGTATTTCTTATGTACATTCCCGCAATGAGGGCTAATAATTTTCTGCTCACCAGATGTCGCTAGTTGACACTGAGGAAAAGTTTTTTGTTACACAATGTAATTTAATTGAGAAGTTGTTTTTTAATAAAATTTATCAGTTTTAGAGTATTATATTAAAACACAAAACAAAGCGTCAGTGGTTTGCTCTTTCATTTTTTGCACATTTTTAACTTTTCATTTTTCTACTTTTATGAATATCTGTGGTTTGGTTTATTTATTTGGTTTGGTTTATTATTCTTCCAGAAAATATACAAAGTTTGACCTGTTCAAAGTTCAAAAACTTTATTAAACTAAGTTTGTATAAAAAGGGTTATTATAATATTAAGGAATTTATGGATGATAGTAACCTCTGGAAATGAGGTGATCGCTACCAAGCTATTTCTAATTTGTTGTGTTGTTAATTTGTGTAACATCATGATTGTAAGCTGTTATTTAAAAAAAAGTCCCGCTGGGTTTCTTGCTGGTTCTTCCCAGGACAGAGGTTTTTTCCGAACCAGTGGTAATCAAACAAAAGAGTGACTTTCAATAAGTATTATTTATAATCTATATTGAATAAAAAAAGTTTCTGTTTCTGTATTTTTAATGTTATTAATATAAAATATAGGTAATAGTACAGAAAGAAACAATAACTTTAACATTTTCCGAACAAATTAACTTCCCCGCTATGTGTTATAAAGTGAGGTACATATATTATATATACCTCACTTTCTAGTGGCACCGCCATGGTGGCAGAAAAAGTTTTGGATGCCCTCATTGATGCACTTGTTGTCGTGTAGCGGGGTATAATTATGTGAAAAACCTTGACGCTGAGGTGGCGCTGGTCCGCTCTGGCAACCGCTCGCGCCAGCGGCCCGCGCTGGCTCCCGTGCTACACCTCTGTTGCCCCGACCCCGATCATCACATGTTTCATTCCTTTGTTTATCCCGTGACGAGTTTGAAACTTTATGTATGGCCCGTATGTCCTCTCTATCTCTAATCAAATTTCTGACCCCGTAAGTTGACTCTTCACGTCTTATATTTTCCGATACCTCCGATATATTTTACGAGTCAATTTACGCAATGCAAATACATATTGATCGAGTGTTTCATTATGGTTTTTATCTCGTGTCAACGGTAACATTTCTTGTACTAACGGTAACATTTCTTGTACTTTTAAAATGTTGTTATGGTATTGTTAAGACACTCTCAGCTGTTGCGTATCTTTCCGAAGACTGGACTAAAATGTCTTAACACTGGATATTTAGTTGGATAGATACATTTTTCTTATCAATCTCGCAGGTTTTGCAATATATAATATAACTATTGCGCCACTTTGTCCAACTTTCACTTAAACTTCCAGAGGTCGAATCTATTGCGTTTCTATCAAAACAAAATGGAGATGGAGGCGTTAAGACACTTTCCATTTTTAATATATGCACTCATACTTGTTACTATTACACCCATAATAAACTAATTAATATTATTACACATAGCTGATGTGAAGAATCGACACTCCTGGAAGTGTGCAGTCTGCGAACACATACAGGATCGCCCTGTTATTAGATTAGATTTGACAGACCACAAATCTTCGCTAAAGAACACCGATTCCTTCCAAGGATGATTCACGAGGCTATTGAAATCGAAACAACAAACGACAAAACAAAAATCTGTTTGGGATCCTATAATTAATAAAATTAAATCCTAATCCAGCATACGATTGCGAGAATTCAAAGTACTAAAAGTTCATACTGCGTACATCGGACCAGAAATTAATAATTGAAATCTGGAGGTAGCCGTGGTTAACTATGACGTTGGGACGTCAAACACCTCTCCCCCCGACCATGAGTGTTGTAAAGTGCTCGAAACATCGGCAATATAAAAGAAGTTAATATGCGCGATATAATTTTTTGACGGCTCCGTGGCGCAGTGGCTTAGCAATCAGTTGTTGCGCTGGGGGCCGCGGGTTCGAATCCCGCACGGAACAAGTATTTGTATGGCCTACAAATAATTGTTCCGGGTCTGGATGTTTGTCCTTGTGCAATTTATGTTTGTAAACTGCCTCCACGACACAGGAGAAAATTCTAGTGTGGGGGTAACGTTTTTATAAGAAAAAAAAAATTCATAAAAACTAGTTTTATTTAAATGAAGTGTTCGCGTAAACATAAGAAATCTATAGTATCCTTTTGCCCAACAGGTCTAGTAGCAGTCCTTTTAGAAGGACCACCCAACAGCGGGAAGACAGCGTTGGCAGCGGAATTAGCAAAGAGGTCCGATTTCCCGTTCGTGAAAGTTTGTTCGCCAGAAGACATGGTTGGCTTCACAGAAAATGCCAAATGCGCGCAGATACGGAAGGTAAGGTCTTTAACTGGCGAAATTTTTTTCGCAATATTATAAAAATATTTTCTTTTTTTATAGGATAGGGTGACAAACGAGCACATAGTCTACCTGATGGTTAGTGGTCCTTCCTCGGTCGAGCCGACCCATTCGTGCTACAACTATAATACTAATATAGCTGCAGCATGGCTCTACCACGTAAAAATCTCATTTACTCTAGTGTTATCTAGTTTCTTGTTTCCTGTTCATTTATTTATTATATGTTTTTTTATAGGATAGGGTGACTAACGAGCACACAGTCCACCTGATGGTAAGTTTTTGCCGTGACCCATAAACATCTACATCTATCCTCAATAAAGAATCAAAATGCAGAGGACTAAGATCAAAATGTAGATGCGTTGTCACCCGTGAGGACTAAGATGGAATGCGTCGTTTGCAGTAAAAGGGTCTCCGGTTCTCTACACTCACCATACGAAACACAGCAGTGTTAAGCTACTATTTTACGCTGGTATTCTGTAAGAGCGTTGTCCTTCCCCGGTCGAGCCGACCCATTCGTGCTACAACTATACTACTAATATAGCTGCAGCATGGCTCTATCACGTAGAAATCCGATATACTACTGTAATTTTATATATATGTGGTCTACCACGTATACCAGGTATATATAAAATTACAGTAGCACCAATAGTTTGGCTCGACCGGGGATAGGATCGCGCTCTCACATAACACCAGCGTAAAATAGCAGCTTAATGCTGCTGTGTTTCGTATGGTCCATTTTAGTCCTTAGGGGTGACAACGCATCTGCATATTAATTCTTTATTTAGGATAAATGTAGATATCTATGGGCCACAGCATCCACTTGAAACATCCCAACTGTGGAGCACGTTTGCTTTAGGTATTTTTATTTGTATAAAAATAATTCTTATCTTGTACTTTATATACTCAAAAATTTAGATATATACTCTTCACTATAAATATATACTTAAAAACCCGCTTGAGCTCGTCATTGAGAAACGTTTATTAATTCGGATCTTTGTAGTGTCAAGCATTGCTTTTGTGTATAAAATATAATTAATATTATATACAACCATTTCATGAAACGGTCGACAACATCATGAAGTGATCAATTCTATGATCTGGCAACAACATATATATTCCCCTTTAGTTTTATCTCTAGGCATGTTAGCATATCCAAACAGATGATGGAAACTAATGTCTGAGTGGAAAAATCACTACAATTCAAAATTATTTGCCTCTAAATGTAAACAGTGCAAGTTAGTGATAACTTTAACATATTTTCTTCTACAGTACTTCGACGATGCGTACCGTTCAAGTCTCTCATGCATTCTCGTGGACAATATCGAGCGCTTACTGGACTATGGGCCGATCGGACCGCGATATTCTAACTTGACACTGCAAGCGTTGTTGGTGCTGCTCAAGAAGCAGCCGCCTAAAGGCAGGAAACTACTCATATTGTGCACTAGCAGCCGAAGGTAGGACTTCTGTTTTTGCTATGTTAAAAATGTCGCTCCAATAATTTGGTACTTTTAATTCTTTAAATAGTCTAATCGAATAAGTAATGAATTTTCATGTAAGTCGCGCCATTAAAGAAGCGTTTTATAAATGGCTGTCGAAGCATGCTAAGTCTCTTACACAATATTGGTTATTAAACTCGCACACAGTTACATAATGAAATCTAATTACAACACCTCCTCTTTGTATTTGCTCCGTGGCAGTCACACACTTTAAATTGTATACAATGTTGTAAAATATTTTGAAGAATAATATGGAGTGTTATCATCCATCTAGTCAGTAATTTTAGAACGAATATGTGAGATTATGAAAATCCTCTAAATCTGGTTATGTTAATTTGTTGTTTTTGAAAACAACAATGATGTCAACATTGACAATATCCAGTCCCTTTTGCACACCAAAGTACATAAAATGTATACGGTTACTCATAATATATTGTAATATAATAATAATAGACTGTATTTTGTATGTATGTTACATATATATAAATATACAGTATAATTGAGAACTTCTTCTTTTTTTAAAAGTCAGATTAAAATAAAAACAAAGTTGCAATAAAAAATAGCTATTTGATAGTTGTTTTTCTGACTGTACGTCATAAAACGGCTGCCATCTTAAAAACTCCTCTATATTGTTTTTTTTTTACCATCTAATATTATTTAAATGAAAATTTAAAAAAATTAAAACAAATAATTGTATAATTATCAATAGTACACAAACAGTATTCTTTTTGTATTACTGCTGATCATTATTAATAAAAGAGTATACTATACATATATTTTTTACTTTTTAAAAATTTTAATAATATTCTTCCCACAGACAAGTATTAGAAGACATGGAAGTATTATCGGCCTTCACTGGTGTCCTCCATGTGCCAAACCTATCACAACCAGAACATGTAATGGCCGTTTTAGAAGAATGTGATGCATTCTGCAAGAAGGATTTAAGCAAGATACAAAAGAACTTGAGGGGTGCTAAGTGAGTAGATAATTTAAAACAAGATCAGATTACATTACAGCCTATATCCTCCGTACATACTCCTGGGCATAGGGCCTCTTATTTCTGAAAGGGTTTAAGTGAGACTTCACCATTTTTAAATAATTTTTTTTTCTGAGATATGTAGGTTTTGTCACGATTTTTCCTTTACTACTTAAGCTTCCTTACTACAGTTATATATTTATCGTTTAACTATGTACTTACTTATTGTGTGGTGGTTAGAAAAGTTTTGTGGTTCTCTTTAATTTTCTCTTTACTTTAATTTATGATTGGAAATAAGTACCCATGTTAGTTAACATGGGTATGTTAGTGCATAGCTGTTGTAGCCCCACTGTAGAAGGAAGCAGGGTCAAAGCAAACTGTAATACTATTGTGGAAGTGGAACAACAGCTTAGCATTGTCAGGATACTGTATGCTAAAGTGTTGATTTTTCATTTATTTTTAAGAAATGTTACCTCCACACTAGGATTTCCTTCTGTATCGTAGAGGCCAGTTTACAACCATAAATTGTACAAGGACAAAAATCCCAGAACAGTTGTTTGTAAACTATACAAATACTTATTCTGTGAGGGAACTGGAACCCGCGGCCCCCAGTGCTACAACTCATTGCTAAGCCATTTGCATTTGGTTGGGCTACAAAGCTTTTGCTTTTGCCATTTGAATGATGTAAAACTTCCAGATAGACAATAAAGAAAAGCATCAAAAGTGCAAAACAGATGGTACGACAATTGCAAAACCTCTTGCCAAAGGGTAGTGATTGTGGCATCATCATCATCATTACAGCCCTTCACAAGTCCACTGCTGTACATAGGCCTCCCCCAAAGCACGGTCCTGAGCCACCTGCATCCATCGACTTCCTGCAGGTCTTACCAGGTCGTCACTCCATCTAGAGGGGGGACGCCCTACACTTTGTCCACCGGTACGAGGCCGCCACTCGAGAACCTTTTTTCCCGCATCGGTTGTCGGTTCTTCAGGCTATATGGCCGGCCCATCGCCACTTCAGCATATTAATCCGTTGGGCTATGTCGGTCACTCTGGCTCAACTGCAGATATGCTCATTTCGAAGTTTATCACGCAGAGAAATCCCGAGCATAGCCTTCTCCATAGCTTGGTGAGGACTTTGAGCTTCCTCATACGACCAGCAGTGAAGGACCACGTCTCAGTTCCATAGGTCATTACTGACAACACGCACCGGTTGTACAGTCTCGTTTTCAAGTTTTGAGGTATACCTGGTGATGGCATAGCCTTCTTAATTTGGAAGAGACTTAGCAGTGGCCTATTTAAGGACTAATGAGAAAAAGGGTATGGTATTGGATATGGGTGATCAACTATTTCTGTAGGTTTATTTCTACAACTTTAATAACTTTTAAAATGGAATAATGTGCAATAAAAATAGATAACGTGGACCTTTGTTATAATTATTATTTTATCTTCTGTTGTGCAGGATATTTATCGGCATCAAGAAGCTTCTAGCTCTAGTCGACATGGTGAAACAGACCGACGAAGAATCCCGGGTGGTCAAATTCCTCACAAAAATGCAAGAGGAGGGTGGTCTCGATCTCGGCACCACCATACATTAAGAATTGTTACAACCTTAGGGATTACATACGCATACCACACGCACGCCCTCACCGAACCATTCCACTAATGCACACTATCCATTAAAAGCCCACAATACTAAAGTCACTGAGTGCACTCCTTGCACCTCGGATCTAAGAAGCTACGAGATTGACTACGACGAAGTTAGCGAGAGTATTGAGTCCTTAGGAGATTCTAGTCACAACAAAAGAGGAAGAACAGCTAAAGGCAATGAAATATCACCAGTAAAAATGCCACTGATGAGAATCCGAAGCGTGGAAATCGTTTTTGAAGATGATATGTCCATGTGCACAGATACGGGGATATTAGATCGCAGCATGGAATTGCTTCCGTCTGATAGCAGCAGCGACGATTCTACTAAATGTGTTGACGATTTACATGCTGAAAGAGACGAGAATGATTGCTCAGTAACATTAAACGCGGAGGGTGATTTATCAGATGACACGTATAATTCTTCAAGGGACAATATTATCTGCAAAGAAAATCATAAAACAGAAACACCACAAATCCATCAAGCCGAAGCAGACAGCACTCATATTGAAAACTATAGTAAAAAGAGCATAATGGTCAACGATGAGACCACATTATCACTCATTGTATCTGAAATAGGCGATTCTGGGCACTATACTGAAGATCCATGCTCATCCCACATAGAAACAGCTCCCATTATAACTTACGACGATGCTTTGCTTTCCCATTCTTTCGACGTCGTCAATATTGATGAAACATCAGTGGTGCTCAATACATGCGATCTATCCGAAGTTTGTAGCATTACTGATAAAAGAAAATCTATGTTATTATATGAATATATTGAAAGCAATAGTGATAATTCCGATAATACTGCTATATGTGACGATGAAAATGCTGAAGTGAAAATTTTAACATCTCTTCACAATGATGTGGTTTCTGATGAGGAGGACACCGTGAGCTACAGTTATGATCTACAATATGATTCTTTTGTTGACATGGGAAAGTTTTGAACATATAATCTGTATTAAAATGGTCCTAACATTTTAAGGCATTGTGTGGCTTTTTAAAATTATGTTTTTGAAATATTTAAATGTTTGATATTACTTTAACACATTGAATTCAAATGTATGACTTGTGTTGTACTTTGTTGAAATTTTACTGGTTTAATTGCGTATTTATTTTGGTGTGAAAATGTTACCTTTTGATTGAGCTATTTTACACCCTCTAGACCAGTACACGCTTATGCACAGTGGGCTCAGTGGTATGCAACTTTCATAACCATGTCATGTCCTAACTACTTAATTTCTTAGCAAATCTTCCAAATAACTTTGTGTAATATTGAATATCCATAGGATAAATGAAAGTAACTAGAGTTTGTGTTCCTAATGCCAAATATGACATGGTTAGAGAAATCCCGGGGTTGTAAGTTAAGACAATAGCTCAATATTGTAATAATATTGTATTATAATTTAGCAAAAGTAATATTTATTTACTTAAATTTTTATTAAATTGTGATGCAGCTTCATGCTGTCTTTTTGTTTATGTAATAGACATAATTGACGATCGTGTACTAATAGTAGTAGAAGTTAAGGAAATTTTATCAATATGGACTATTTATTAATAGAGAATTACAAATAATTCATGCATAGTGTTACTGTAGTTGTAGAATTTCACAAATACTTATATAGCTTAAATCAATTACAGTTATATTATTCATGAGTACAATTACAGATAAAAATAAAAAGCTTTAGATGTTGTATGTTATTACTTCTAATCACTGATTCATACATATTATGGCATAAAAATTAAAATAATCTTAAAAATCTAACTGTTAGTAGAAATTAAAAAAATATATTGCGTCAATTCTAAAAAAAATATTCTATTAGTGCGTTTTTAGAAAAAAGCACTTCATTACATACTCGTCTATTTAAATATTTTCTGAACTGTTAAAATACTGTTTATTTTTAAGGAATGTTAATTTACACTATTATCAACTATTTTTCAAAGCGTAAAAAATTATTAAAGTACATCAAAAAATTAAAACTTGTCAAAACAATGTTAGATTTTCTTAATTTTAAAATGTTATCACTGTTAAGCGTTGTTAATTGTTGCCACGGGATTTGATTTTGTTGTTTGTGGAAATTTTGTGTGCTTACATTCCATTCATACAATCATGTTCCAATTCGTATTTGAATATTATTGTGAAATTGGAGAAATAAAATATTTTGAAATATCCACGCTTGTATGGCTAACTAGTTCAGTAGCACTTAAATATTTTAATATTGATATATTTATTGTGTGTGAATGTATGACCATTTAAAATATATAATTGTGATTGGCAGACAGTCATTATGGCATGCTTGATTTAATAAATATTGTATGTGTAAGATATTGTTAAATGTCTATTATACCCTTACTTAAATTGTATAGATAAAAATTTCACTTCAGTATTTTAATATAAAAACAACCCTATTTTTTTAATTATACCAAATAATTGATAAAATTATATTTGTGTGTTTAATCAAATCCTTATCACATCTAGGATTAGAATACAGCAAATTAACATACTGGTGAAAGGTGTTTTTTAATGTTAGCTTTTCTTACAATACTCTGATATATAAACCCTGCCATAAATGAATTGTCTTGCCTTTTACAATCAAAGTATATTGTTGGAAATAAAATGATTAACATGTTCTGACGTTTTTACTTATTTATTCCTTAATAAATACAATTTTTCCTATAAAATTAACTGATAGATGATAAACAAATAGATTAGTAGAAACTTTTTAAATAAAACATTTTCAAAGACTGGCAATTACAATAATATTGAAATTGAATGTTTTCATGTGTTCAAAAATTAAACATTAATAAAAAGTCAACCTGTGTATATATAGGAGACTTAAAACTTCAGAATGATAAATTATTTTATTTGTTTTAGTTCTCTGAAGTCTGCTGTTACTTTTTATTAAAAGTTATTTTTTTATCCTTTTGAGTGGACTAAGGAACATCATAATCTTAATGTCTTCTAAATAGTTACATTTAAAAAATCTTAATTGCCTTTTCTTTCTCCCTTATGGCCAAATTTTAAGATTCCATTAAATCTTGTGGTGTAGTCGCTTTGATTTAGTGATAGAGACAGCATGACCTAACGGTATCTTAAAGTTGAGTAGCGTTTGAATATTTGGGCTTTAGCGGTTGAAATTATGTGTCTAAAATTATATTGAACCATCCATGAAGTATTTAATGAAAACAAATAATCAAAAAGATGCACAATTGATGAAGATATTGCATAACATTCATACAAATTACAGTCTTATTTTAAACCTCCTCTTTTTTTTAAAGGTTGCTAAAATACAAAGGAACGTTACTACAAAATAAAAAAAAATTAATTGTTACATAATATTGACAATATTCTAAGATCAAGGATTGACACCTTAAATTGAATGTGCCAGTCTTCCCGATAAATCATCTAAGATTCTTCATTTATAATATCAGTACACTTCTTAATATTTATTTGTTAACCAATATGAGTTCACGATGAACCTAATCATAATTAAAACTAATCAAGCACATAGATAATACCACAACAATGTAAAGGAAGTTTTAAAAGGGTATACTTTATTAATATACATTAAAATAACCTTAAAATTAATTAGCACTTTCACATGCATCTACCCAATCATTATAGACATCAATTGGTTCAGATAATACATTTGTTGTTGTCTGAAAGTCTTCTAAACACACCCGACATTGTATTCTAGCTGTATTTCGAGCCCGGTCCCTGAAAAATACGATGAAAAAGTATACAGTTTACACTAGTTATTTAACAGGTTCCTTATCCGCGAAATAGACACTATAGTTGAAACAATTGAAATCTTCATAATATTGATTCATGAGGCAGGGAAAGGGTTTAAAGGAAATATTGTTTTTTATAAAAGTAAATTTACTTCTTACATTTTTACTTCACAGGATTTTTCATGATTACAGAATGGACAATTAAATTGCTGATCTAAAGGCTCAATTGCTTTACGTTTCGGTGGGGGCTTTCTTTTAGATTTACGCCGACCCATACCTGTAAAATTAAATTGTAATACATAACACAGAAAAGAATTAAAGATAAAATTAATACTTTCATTTAACTTTTACTTTAGAATTTTAATCCTTGTTTATTTTGGTACTAAATAAACTTTGCTAAGCTTTGCTAAATCGTTTCACTATATAAAAAGTACTCTGTGGCTAAATCGATTTTGTGACAGTCTGACAGTAGGTAGTAAACGTAGTGATTATATTCTCTTTGGTAGGTAGCAGCAGGTAGCAGTGCTACCCAAGTATTATATATTAGTCTATGGTGCTACCGTAGCACTACAACTTTATAATTTGTGGTAGGCATGGGTAAAAAATATCGATATATCGAAATATCGATATTTCTTAAACAATATATCGTCGATATTTTAATTCGCGATATATCGACATATCGTTATTTATATTAGTGTATCGAATTCGCATCATTCAAATGATGACGATATATCGATATATATTATATATTTATCACGCGATATATATCGATACTGTTTAAAAATATAGATTCGATATATATCGATATATTTTTCCCTTTGCCCATCCCTAATTTGTGGTAGGTATATTCTGTAGGTAGCTTGCTGATGCAAAAATTTCGATATCGTCGATATTTTAAATCGCGATATATCGATATTTATTTTAGAGTATCGAATTCGTATCAATTTCGATATATTTTAAAATGTTGTATTAATGACAAAACATGTAACAACAAAAGGAGGTACAAAAGTATTCATGTGTGGTTGGTTATCGTTTTTTTTTCGTCGTCCAACCGGCAGTAATATAAAACTTTGGACATTTTCTTTAGATCATGCAAATGATGACGGTATATCGATATTTATCAAGCGATATATATCTATACTGTTTAAAAATATCGATTCGATATATATCAATATATTATTTTCCCTAGCTGATGCTGTTGCTGGTTATTAATTTTAATCTGTATGTTTTTTTAATTATGATATTTGGTTTGTATGCTTGTCTTTTAAGCCATGTTTTCATTTATCTCGGTATCAAGAATAGACAGAGAAAATGGACTGTGCGTTCCGTTGTCAATTGTGCAGTGAATACAGACCGAAAAGTGCGAGAGAGGCAAAGCAAATGTGCGGCCAGTAGTTGTTTCTTTCTAGAATTATGATTGGTCTACGCCCCGGCGGTCAGGTGTATTGTTCTGCGTATGCGCTGCATGTACAACTGTAACTCCTTTGCTGCAGAAGCAGTGCTATGCATCGTATTGTAAAGAGGGTCTACTGTTTTTAATGTTATATTGCTGATTGATAACTTATTGAAGTACAGTTAATCAAAAGTATTACGTTATTTTATCACAAATTATGTGTCAAAAATGGTTTATACGTTTTTTTCATAGCTCATAAAGTCAATTATAAAAAAATTGTTTTCATTATTTTTAATTTAAATCGTCTCAATTTCTCTTATTATTGATCAAAATTATTGATAAAAAGAAATCTTTCAGTTTCAAACAGAAGCCAGTACAGTATATAAATAATAATTAGTAACATAGAAACAACTACTTTTTATATTATTAGTCACTGTAATTTCAATGATTTTCCTATTGATTAAAATTGGAATGAAAATGGTACATTGGTTCTAGTGAGCAGAGAGAGGAATATACATGGTCCTACCAACAGAGTTCCCCACTGACATGGCCATGGCCATTCAGTTACTGGAAAAAATATTTATTTCGGGGCACTGCGCCTTCGACCTTCAACTTTGTGAGGCTAACGCTCAGTCTATTCTCTCTATGTTTATGTATCAAGTTTGAATCACAATATGTTGCTGCGTCATATTGTATAGTTTTTGAGAGATTTTGACGGCAACTTGAGCCACCATTCAGTTGGCTATAGTGTTTCAATGTGCCTAAGCAGACATACACATTATTTTGAGATTCACATCACCATCTGAGCACTTGTTTCACCGTTTCTACTAGTAGTTCACATGCCCAGTCATTCAATATACAAAATCTCACCACTTTTACATAACTAAATCCACTTAAAACCAATATTTAAACAATAATACAGGAGCAGCAATCCGCCGCCAGTCAAGTTCCCGACATAAAGTAATGTCAACCACAGAATTAATAAATATTAAGATAATAATTCTATGGTAACCGTAGATAGAGATCTTAACACCTACCTCAGCCTACGAATTCGGAGTATATATAAAATAAAAAATACTTACAGACGTATTTTAAAAAGCACATCTCAAAAATTGTTATTATTTACCTATGTAGTTTATAAATAAAAAAATAGGTAAATATTGCACAACTTATAACATCGAAATAACTTCAAATAATTAGAAAAGGGTACTTTTAGCAATATGAAAAAACTGCACCCTGCTTGACGTTAAAAATGCATAAGAAAATGATAATAATCACCTATAAGTAATAATCACTAGGTTTAATAGGCGGGACTTCCTTAGTAAAAGTATGAAAAGGCGCTAAGCTACTTTGCCAATATAAAGACATGACATCATTTAATTTCCCCCCCCCCCCCCCCCAATCCAGCCCACGAATTTGAAGTTTTTTTTATAGGATAGGGTGACAAACGAACACACAGGCCATCCGATGGTAAGTGGTTACTGTGACCCATAGACATCTACATCTATCTTCTATAAAGAATCAAAATGCAGATGCGTTGTCACTAATGAGGACTAAGATGGAATGCCTCTTTTCCAGTAGAAAGGGTCTCCGGTTCTCTACACTCACCATACGAAACACAGCAGTGTTAAGCTGTTATTTTACGCTGGTATTCTGTGAGAGCGTGGACCTTCCCGGTCGAGCCGACCCATTCGTGCTACAACTATACTACTAATATAGCTGCAGCATGGCTCTATCACGTAGAAATCCGATATACTACTGTAATTTTATATATACGTGCTATACGTGGTCTACCACATATACCAAGTATATATAAAATTACAGTAGCACCAATAGTTAGACCGCGCTCTCACATAATACCATGATTACTGACCTGACCCAGCTGACCCATTATTGCTACAACTATACTAGTAATATAGCTGCAGCACCACGTATAGATAAGAGTAAGACTGAGAGTATATATAAAAAAATTCTGACTAACGTATTTTAAAAATAAACGTCTCAAAAATATTAATTATATAAAATGCACCTATATAGTTTAGAAAAAAAAAATAAACATGTGTGCAACAAGAAAAATTATTATTAGAATGTTGTTACTTTAAAAAATTAATGTCCGAGTTTATTTGAATAACAATATTAATCAACTAGATGTGAAAACCTGCTTCGTTGGGTTATTTTTTGTCGAATATTTATTCATGTATGTATATTTTATGAAATTAAATTTTTAATCTTTTTTCTTACTTACATATTTTTTATTCACTATACAAAAATACTTATACGGATAGTCATGTACTGAAAACTTCTATTACAATACATTCTTATACACTACAATTAATATCTTACATCGTACACGAATATTTTTTTTCTGTCCAACGCGCGAAAAGCTACATAGAGTTGACCATGTGAAAAACAGGATTTCGCGAAATTCACTGCACAATATTGGAAAGTTTGACCTTGTGTCTTATTGATAGTTATAGTATAAGCCAATCACAGAGGAAACTGTAACCGTTTGAAATAGACTGGTAAATCATTTGAAATTATTGAGATGCTTGGTAATAACCGATTTTCCTTTTTCTTTGCCAGTTTGAATGACTGCCTCAATAATGTTGTTGAGAAGTAGTTTTATACATAATCTTGTACCGTTATATAATTTTGGCGAATTGGTGTTTCGGGTCCAATTTTTAGCTTCAATACATGCGGAGGCATACCAGGCGGATTCAGTGATTTAAAAATTCTGTTGGCATGTTCACACTTTCGTCTTGATACATCATTGTGTCTATATATTTATATAGTTTTTCATTCCCTGGTATCAGGATACAGAACAATCCTTTCATTAATGTGGTGTACTACATCATTTTTTATAGCTAAAATTGCTCACTCACACAACCATATTAAGATAATTCTGTTTAATAGACGGAAAAACCTTTTCAATAAGTTCTTCTTCTGTGTCTAGTAAGTTACACAATTCTTCTGGTAGAATAAGTTTGCCTGACTGTGAATCTATAGGATAGGTTTCATTTCCAATTTTAACAGATTTTCAAAAATTACTGGAGATCCGGAACTCTTGGGCTTCCGGATCTCCAGTAATTTTTGCTCGCATATTTTTGTTAATGATCATTTGGCAATAAGATCCCAGGACATTAATTGCTTCAAACATTCGTTTATTTCATCAGTTGGAGTTGATTTTGGAATAACCGACAGCGTTTGTCGAAAATCTCCGGATAAAAATAATAAAACACCTCCCATAAGTTTTTTATTTTTCCGGATATCCTGTAATAAAAATAAATAATTTTTATTTCATTTTCAATTACACATGTTAACATACAGGAAGAAATATGATTACATTAAACTATAAATAAGTCTAACAAAAATAACATGCTATAATAAAATTAAAACTATGTGTAGCTTAATAATGTAGAGTCTACAAAGAAAAATTGAACAGTCAAGTTTATAATATTAGCTACTTGCCTGAAATATGTTGAGTACGTGTGTTTCAGACCATCACTATAGGTTTAATAATGTAGGACACTAGATAATTTAAATAATTATAGTATATTATGTCTATAAAAATAAATAAAGTTGAAGTGCCCGTTGGTAATATCAAAATAACTGCTTTTTACTAAATACATATGAAAATATATACGGTACTAATAAGAAAAAAACAATTTTTAACATCTTTTTCGGTCTGTCTATATGTCTGTTTATTTCGACTAATCTCAAAATTGGCTGGACCGATTTTGACAGGACTTTCACTGGCAGATAGCTGATGTTATAAGGAGTAACTTAGGCTACTTTTATTTTAGGAAAATAATTAGGGTTCCGCGCGTTAAAATTAAAACCCATGAAATCTAATCGTAATAAATTCCACGCCGGCGAAGTCGCGAGGAACAGCTAGTAATAAATAAAATAATTACTAAATAATAATTATTTGTTACCTACAATTAATACAAATTATTTTCGAATTTATAACAACTTCTTTGTGTCTTCGTAATTTAATTTATTCAGTAATTCCCTTACAATTATAGTGGATAATCGAAGGTAAGGGGCTGGGGTTCCATACTCCCATAGCATTTTTTTAGTAATTATTAGTTAAGTATTTTCCGAGTTACGTTTTATACATCTATAAAAAGCATCATATGAAACTTTACATCCCTTAACAGCATTATGAACAGGTTTCTATATACATTATTACACTGCAAAAAAAATTATTGATGAGGAATATCAATCGAAAATTCATATAAGACTCATGTGACACAGAAAGATTCAAGTGTAATTCAGAAGAATAAAATGATGTGTTTAGTTCTAGCAGTAGCGCCAACAATGCAGCTATCAATGTAAAGCAGTTTTGAGCAAATTAAGTAACAGGTTTTTATCTAATTACTTATACTTCCTCCCTGTTACACTTATTAAAGGTTGTATCATTTGACCCGTCACAAGAAATGCTTATACATAACATGAAATTAGAATAATTTATAGTATATATATAATTTATAATATAAAAAATTTATAGTATAAAAATATAAAATCTTGACTCTGCCGTGTATATATATACATGAGGTTGCTAACTTTGTTCGAAATAACCCAATTTATTTTGAAATGAATACTGCCGGAAGTCGTCGTGAAGGCACATTGATAGTTAACCACAAATGCAAACCCCTTCTTCGAAGAATGTGTGTAAATTGCATGGCACCGAAATTCTATAATAAAATCCCAATAAATATCTGATTAATTAATGATGTCAAAAGATTTAAAACTACGCTCAATGGCTTCCTTGTTTACAAAGTGTACTATGGCATAATATTTTTTGATGACAAAATGTAAAAACACTTCAATTATGTTCATATACCTCTAAGGTGAAACATGGCTGTATCTAATAATAATTTTGTATGTGACATCCTATCTTACCCATGCTCATGAATTAATAAATGATTGATTGATTGATACAATGTTACAGATATTTTAGTATTTTTTAGTACTGGCAACATATTCTTCTAGTAGATTATGTTTATAAAATGGTCACATTGATCGTGATTCGTGAATCGTGATTCGCGTAGAGAGAGAATTAAGGCATGGAGTGTAGAGTACAAGGAGAACCATCTTATAAAGGGCGTAAGTTGAAAAAGTGTCCTACTATTTACTGAAAATAGAGGTTCCAAAACCTACCACAATAGCGCTGGCGTCTGAAAAACTACGATATGAAGATAGCTGTTGTGAACGGAGTGAAGTCAGCTGAACTTAAATATTTAAAAAATTTCATGATTAGAGTAGTTAGTAAAATGCCAGTATACAAAATCTCAACGATTTACGTAGTACAAAACCAAGCGAATTGGTCGGTCCTTGCTTTTTTCTCCATCTTATTCTAATTACTTTTGGCGCTTTTTTTTAATTTGGCCTATGCTACTGCAGCGCCACCCTTATTGGACACGTTTTTAGGGACACTCTTCATACATAGAGATGGTCCTCCTTCTACTTTAAGGGTATTAGCTTGCTACATATTTATTTATCTATGGGTATTAGTGTTCTGTGGAGAGAATGAACTACATACTCCCTCTACGGTGATTCGTGATCGTGACAACTGACGGTTTTTGGCGGGAACTTGACCGGCGGCGGTTTGCTGCTCCTGTAATGAACTACATACTCCCTCTACGGTGATTGGTGATCGTGACAACTGACGGTTTTTGGCGGGAACTTGACCGGCGGCGGTTTGCTGCTCCCGTATTATTGTTTAAATAATGGTTTGAAGTGGACTTTGATATGTAAAAGTGGTGTGATTTTGTGTATTAAGTGTCTGCGTATGTGAACTATTAGTAGAAACTGTGAAACAAGTGCTCTGATGGTGATGTGATTCTCAAAATAAGGTGTATGTCTGCTTTGCTCCCTTTCGCACCTGGCTTAAACGATAGTGAGTTCGTATTTCTTAAAAATATGTAAGCGCGGGAAATCTGTTTGGTCGCACGCGCCCGGAACCACATAATCGTGCGTTGGTCAAATAACCAATCAAAAATAGTTTCGCGGCATTCAGGGGTCAGTGTCGTCGCACGTGCGGCCAAAATGGCGGTGTTTCTCGATCCCGATACTAAGCGTCGTAAGTATTTGTATTATTTACATGTTTTTTTTGATTGATTTGTTCATGTACATGTGTTATTTTCATTTTTATTGATCTATAAATCAATTAGTATCAACGACTTAACCTAACTTAAAGTATCGGCCCATTTGATTAGTGGCAAAATAAGGAACTCACTTACGTGAGCTCTCGGGTTTATTTATACCTCCTCACAAAAATGAGATGCCTACATTTACTGTTTTTTATTAAGGTTAAATGGCTGTTTTTATATTTTTTAGGTATGCCATTGAATTGTGAGCTTGTAATTGACCTATTTAATAACGGGGAATGCTCGGATATTGATATCGATGAGGCCGACGAGGATTTTTGTCCACAACCAGGTGCTACTGAAGATGATGCCCATGAAAAGGAATCTCCTCCCTCACCAGACTCAAAAAAGAGTTATTCTAGTTTAGTTCGTAAAGAGCATGAAGGTGATGGTCCATCAAAAACAAATAAACAGAAGAAAAGTAGGAAATTCAAAAAGAAACCTAAACAAAACACACAATTAAAAGTGAAGTTTGGACAACGTCGACGCATTTGGAAAAAAAGTGATTATATTGATAAACCTCATAACTATCCCGGTCATCCTAAACCGGACAAAGTTCAATCACCAGTCGAATATTTTGGTGCATATTATGATGAGGATTTTTTCGAAAACATGGCTCTCTGTACTAATCTCTATTACATGAGACATACCGGCAAAGTTTTAAATACTAATAAACAGGAAATTAAACGGTTGTATGGAATTCATCTGTTGATGGGTATTCTTTCTTATCCTAGATATGCCATGTACTGGCGCAGGAATATAAGCATCAATATAATAACTTCTGCAATGACAAGAGACAGATTTTCTCTTTTGCGAAATAATTTACACGTTGTTGATACGGATACTGTGCGAGCAAGAGATGCAGGAAATCCTCTCTGGAAAATACAACCAGTTCTCACAGCCGTTAAAAATGGCTGTGAAAAGATATTGCGAGCTCCAGGTAGGTACTCAGTGGATGAGCAAATGATTCCATTCACAGGAAAATGTCATCTTCGGCAGCTGGTTAAGAACAAGCCCCGGCCCGTTGGCTTAAAAAATTTTGTCGTCACAACCAGTGAAGGGCTGATGGTTGATTTTGAGATATATTACGGCAATAACCCTGTACTTGCTCATCCACTGGGCCTTGGACCTGCAGTTGTTTTTCGGCTCATACGAAGTGTTCCACGCGGAAGCTGCATTTTTTTCGACAGGTATTTTACGACCGTACCTCTACTTGATACCTTGTCGCAGCTTGGTTTTCACGGAACCGGAACCATAATGGCCAATCGCGTGCCTGATCGAAAGGAACTGAGCTTAAAAGAAGACAGCAAAATGAAAAGAGGCGAGATAGATCAAAGAGTTTCGAATGATGTCGCCTTGGTCAAATGGAAGGACAGCAAAGACTGTTTTGGAAACAGTCAACACTGTTTTGCTGTCCTTCACCGTTGGTACAGCTATTGAAATAGTTCAGCGCTATGACAAGAAAGAGAAATGTTACATAGATGTAGACGCTCCAAAACTGGTGAAAAATTATAATTTGTTTATGGGTGGAGTCGACATCTTGGATCAGTCCATGGAGTACTACCGTACTTCTATAAAAACACGCAAATAGACACTCAAAGTAATACTTCATTTCATGGATTTGGCTGTAGTGAACGCATGGCGCTTATATAGGTGTGATTTGTTAGCCACGGGAGCAGCAGGAAAAGACATAAAAGACTTACTATCATTCAGATTTGAAGTGGCTGAAACATTGATAAATACTCCCAATAGAGAGCAACGCGCATCATCTCCAGGTGATCCCGTAATACCTCGATCTACTGCAGGAAGATACAGACCAGCAAACAATCCATCACAGGGAAAAAGGTATGACGGGTACATGCACTTACCAATTTTCGACGAATTGAAGGACCCTCGCGTTTGTCGTTTGTAGAGCTGCAAATCGCGAACTAAAATCAGATGCCGAAAATGCGACGTATGATATATACGACCTGTGTATGAGTCGCGGTAAAGACTGCTTTTACCTCTACCATGTTGATTCCTAAAAGCTAGTTGAGTACAAGACTGATTATAAAATAAGTACTTAGATAATTACTAAGATGTTAATTTGGATCTCATTTTATTTTTTAATAAAAGAACGTTATAAGTACTGTCCGAAAGGCATTTTGTTTTTTAAATGTTTACTAAATAAGGCGTTTTAAGATTATGTTGTATTCAAAATACAGTATTATGATAATTACAAAAAAGCTGTGGTAATTTGACCAAATGGTAGAAATATGTACTAAAGATTGAAATAAACAGTTATTTTTACATATTTTTTTATTTTATTATAATAAAATAAATTAGACTCACATTTAATGAGTCAACTATGATTTTGAATTGCTTAAAATTGCTTAAAAACCTACTTACTCACTATCATGAGTAGGGTGAAGTAAACACGAGAACTCACGATCGTGCGTAATGATTTTCTAAACTTTGGTGTGGGATGGATTTTTTTTAATGTTTTTCCCTTTAATTTAATCGTCTAAGTAGTTATATTTTACAGAAATGTTTCTATTAGGAGGCCATAAATTTTCCAGGTGCGAAAGGGTTAGGCATCTTGAGATACCATCGCCAACCGTCAGCTGTCTGCTGGCTAAGTTGCCGTCAAAATCTCCCAATGGCTGCACAATGTGACGCATCAACATATTGTGAAGCAGTATACTATGAAGGATAATTATTATAATATATTGTAACTTCAGGCTCAGAAGGGCTAGATCCCAGAGCCGTAAAGCCAGTTATTAAGAAGAAGAAGTGACAATTGACAACAAACAAATACAATCTGAGAATCTGTAATAAAAGACCTTCTTTATTAATGTAGTCTTTGCTTCTAAGGCTAAGGCAAAAATACAAAGATAATAAGAAAGTTTACGTTTGTATTAAAACTATAGAACTTTAAATCATATTGTTTCTAAAACAAAATATTTCCTGCCTTCAAACTTCCAACTTAAAAATGGTGGAAGAAGATGAATACGCTTGCGTAAACAAGTCACAGCTTAAAATTAAGGATAATTCTGGAATTAAAAAGAAAAAGAAGAAGAAATCAAATAAAGGAACAGAGAAAGCTATAGAAAACGAAGTAAAACAACAAATAAAGCAACAAAAAAATACTGATGCGAAAACAAAAGCTGAGCTTGCTTTTCTTAAGATGCAGGAAAAAATGGTTAGTATAATTTGAACCAATACACAATATCACTGTTATAGTGTCTCAGTACTGTCGTACAAATATATAAAAATATCAATTTATATTCAAATCACTTAGTTAAATATTACACTCCAACTGCAGGTAAGGTTATTATTTTTTTATCTAGGTCCGTTGTCTCAGCCTACCCCTCTGGATCCATGTTTACCTCTGTTGTGTAAGTTTGTTACGTTATGTTTTAACAAAGCGAGGCTAAGCTAAAATTAAAATAGTAAAAAAAATAAAGTGGTCTATAAAATTTAAGATATATCCCCGAATTTTATGCATTTAGTAAAATTAGTTTTCTAATAGCACTTGAAATTGTTTATCCCATTTTTAAATGTTCATTCTCCACATCTATTAGACATGACAGGAAATTGACAGTGACTTGAGTGAAACTGGAGTGAAGCTTCAAAATCCTCTCAAAAGTGAGTGGACCATTGTGCCCAGCTGTTGGACACAAAATATGCCGCTGCTCTTATTTTATAAAAATCAATACTTTTTACTCAGTTTAGACTTGTTTAACCCATTTGTTGCGGTGCACGCACAACGGCGTAATTTAAATTGTCATTCTTAGGCGGATGACACGGATCGGCATAAATTATATTTTAGCCATAACTTGGCCAATTTCTATTCTAAAGGGATATACTTTTTATATGTGCATGTTTTACATACATACAACATCATTATAGTTTCCGTTTCTGTAAATAATGATCTTAGAAAAATAACGAAGCTATCCTCAGGCGTGTATAACGCCGAATGGCGTCTTTCAGAGGTTATCAACATTGAAAACATTTGGATTAAATATTTATATATTATTTATTTTAGCTAGGTATTTTATTTTATAGAATTAAAGAACAGTAATAGGTTTATACTATGAGTAATCTTCATTTCATAGTTGATAGTTAAACATTTTGCTGCGTTGATATGATTCGCTAGTTTTTTTTTATATATTCTTCATCATCTCTAGTGTAAAAAGGAAAAAAAAAGACCAGACAGAAAATTAAAACGAAAACGGCTTATTAATAAAATCCAACATCTTGGATTGTTAAAACCGTTCATATAGGTAATCATTGTTTCGCATACTTGTGAGAGTAGTAACTTAAAACTACAACTACGACAGTGTTCATAATACTTACTTAACAATATATATATTGTTTTATATTTATCATATACATATTATTATTATGTCAGCTACGTCGGATGATGAATCTTTTTATTCTGCACATGATTCAGATGTCTCGTTCGAGTCTTGTGATTATACTAATAGCTTGCCCTCCCTCCGCGATGAGCTTATTAATTTACTTACTCCTTGTAAAAAATTTCTAAATGTATGTCATGTTAATGCTCAGAGCATACCGGGTCATTACTCTTATTTTGAAGAAGTTTTTTCTATAGATTGTGTTCATGCAATCTTAGTATCAGAAAGTTGGCTAAAGCCTTCATTAATGTCCAGCATGTATCCCTTAAATAACTTTGTTCTTGTGCGCAACAACCGGACTGAAAAAGAGGGTGGAGGTGTCGCCATATACCTGAGAGCAAATATTCCTTATAAAACAATTTTAGCTTCACCATCTCATTCTGCCTCATTGGAGTTTCTGTTTCTGGAAATCGATATCAAAGGTGTAAAGGCAATTCTTGGGGTAGTATACTGTCCACCTGCTATTAACTTTTTCAACGCTTTTGAAAGCTCTCTCTCTATCATTTCATCTGAGTACACGCACTGCATAATAATGGGTGATTTCAATACTGATTTGTTGAGAAATTCTTCTCGTTCTCAAAAATTTCGGTCAGTCCTAGAGTCAGTCGATCTCCAAATTCTCCCCTTAGAGGCAACTCACCACAACATTGACACTGATGACTCATGGATTGATCATATTATCATAGCTTCTCCCGATTATGTTATTAAGCACGGACAACTATCGGCTCCTGCTTTTTCACGACATGACCTTACTTATATATCATGTAAGCTTGTTTCTCCTAAGCACAATCCCGCAGTACTATATATTCGTAATTTCGCTAAATTGATTCTGATAAACTTAAAAGTGACGCATATCGTATGGACTTAACCCCTGTTTTTAAATCAACTTCTATTGACGACAAAGTCTCCGTGCTTAATAATATAGTTCTTAGTCTGTACAACAATCATGCTCCTAAACATCAAGCAAGAGTAAAGCGTCCACCAGCCCCGTGGATGACTAGGGCCGTAAAGGTGGCAATGACCAGGCGAGATCGAGCATTTGTCAAATTTAAGAAGCATCGTACTCAGGAGAGCTGGGATTGTTACTAAATGCTGAGAAACAGATGCAATCAGATGGTACGAAATGCTAAACGCCGTTATATCCATAGCAATATTACAAATTCTTCGACCGCCGATGTGTGGAAATTTCTTAAAACACTTGGTATTAGTAAGGCTGTTACATTTGATCATGGTCCATCAATCACTCTGGATGAAATAAATCATAATTTTATCTCTACTTCTCCTTTGGATCCCACAGTTCGTTCTACAACAATAGCTTCCATTCAATCCATGCCTTCTCCTCCTATCCCTTTTTTTCACTTTTTACCTGTGACTGAAGGTGAATTGATATTGATTGATATGAGAGAAGATAGATTTTCTTTCACAGAATATCTTTATCCATATTCTATCTAATATAATATTTAAGAAATTGTCTTTTTTCGTGTTCAAACTATAAAAGAATTAATGGAGTAATAATATTTAACTACTCTTTATTAAATTAGTATATAACTTTTTTTTTTTATAGATTTAAAACATAATACACACTAGTTACAATTATCAACTATGTTCAAAACAAAACAACTATTATCATCATTATAGCCTATAAAAGTCCACTGCTGTACATACTCCTCCCTCCTCATAGTAGCCTGGTTGGCAACTGCAGTTTTTTATAATTTTGATGTTATTGGAAAGATGCTGCCACCTATTGTCTGTTGTTTCTCTCTATAGCCTCTTATGGCAGCCTCTGGATCTGGATGATATGAGATACTGGACATGTTTTACACTGCCATTATGCAGTGGCAGTGGGTGTAAGAATAACCACTAAACAATTATGCCTAAGCTACATTATGTTGTATGTTATTGCTCTTTGTTTTCTAAAATGTCGTGTTTACATGTCTAAATATTTGTATTTTTTATTTTTAGCAAAAACAAAGAATTCAACAAAAAGCGGAAATGACACACAAACAAAGAGTTGAGAAGTTTAATCAACACTTGGACAGTTTAACGGAACACTTTGACATTCCTAAAGTTTCATGGACAAAGTAATTGCTTAATTTGGAATTAAAGTTAGAAAAGTATGATTATGTTGATATAAGATATTTATATATTATAATATTATAATAATGGACACCTGTAACTAAAATATTATGCTAATAAAATTGTTTCTGTATAAATTATTCATTTTCTTGCCCTTGAAAATCGTTCAAATCACTCATATCTATACTTGCCTAAAAATATTTGTATATTAGACAAATTTTTAACATACAAGATATTCCATAACATCAACACTTCAGTAAAAAACTTTTTAAAGTAATTTATAAACTAATATTATAATAAACTTAAAAGTATTGATAAAAATAAAGACTAACTGTATATGCCACATAGATAAAAATACTCAGCCTAGCGATTTATGGTTGTTATGACGTACAGAAGACAAGTTGAACCTAACTCAAGATAAAACATTTTAAATATCTGCCTCTCTTTCATATAGCTATGCCTAAAAAGATACATGTAAGTATATATATGTGCTGTGTAATGTTTATATTGATGGTCTAGAAGACAAAAATGCTAAATGCAAAATTTTGTGATTTACACTTTTTAATGCCAAATATTCTAAATGAGAATCGCTGCTATGCTCAATGACCTCAATAGTGTTTCCCAACGGATAGGTCTTAATATGAACATGGACAAAACAAAGATCATGTTTAATGTCCATGTCACACCTATGCCGGTAGTTGTTGGGAACACTAAGCTCGAAGTTGTTGACGAGTATGTTTACCTGGGACAAATAGTCCGACTAGGTAAGTCCAACTTCGACCGAGAGGTCAATCGACGGATTCAACTCGGTTGGGCAGCGTTCGGGAAATTACGGCACATCTTCTCGTCAGGTGTACCTCAAAACTTGAAAACGAGACTGTACACCCAGTGCGTGTTGCCAGTGATGACATACGGAACTGAGACGTGGTCCTTCACTGCTGGCCGGATGAGGAAGCTCAAGGTCGCTCAGCGAGCTATGGAGAGGGCTATGCTCGGAGTTTCTCTGCGTGATAAACTCAGAAATGAGGATATCCGCAGCAGAACTAGAGTGACCGACATAGCCCAACGGATTAGTAAGCTGAAGTGGCAATGGGCCGGCCATATAGCTCGAAGAACCGACAACCGATGGGGAAGAAAGGTTCTCGAGTGGCAGCCTCGTACCGGCAGGCGAATTGTAGGGCGTCCCCCCACTAGATGGAGTGACGACCTGGTAAGATATGCAGGAAGTCGATGGATGCAGGTGGCTCAGGACCGTGCTTTGTGGCATTCTTTGGGGGAGGCCTATGTTCAGCAGTGGACTTGTGAAGGGCTGTAATGATGATGATGATGATTCTAAATGAATAGGCCGCATCTTCTGCACTTAGCCATAATTACATCTCTTTTGATCTAAACCGAATCTGTACATTAGTAATAAGAGACGTGAGGCATGAGATAAAAGAATCAAAATTGCTTATCTACCCATGATAGAAATGACAAAATGTATTAAGTAGCTTTAAACCACTTTATCTATGAGTATTGAAATTCACACTAACTTTAAGTGTTTTATAATGATAGGCAATTGACACCTAAAATTGGTACCCAAATTATAAATATATTTATTTAATACATTTTATTCTAATTTCTAATAATTATATAATAATTGAAAATCATATGCTATACACAAATGTACTAAGTGAACTACTGAATAACAAAATAATGATCAAAAGTATTAAGTGAATGTAATTTTTCATAATACTGAGTATTTCTCATATTCTTTATATATTTCTTTCAATAACAGAAGTATAAGATACGTTACACTGCTCAGCTTTACATACTAATGGGTCAAACTCCAAAATTTATTTAAACTGCTCTCCTGACAAATTATAATCTATGTAATTAATACGTTTGCCTTCTAGACCATCGATAATATCACATCTAATGCAATTTTAATCATTAATCTCTTCACTGACGCAGTCTTTTTAGGGTTCCGTAGCTAAATAACAAGGAACCTTTATAGTTTCGCCATGTCCATCCGTCCGCGGTTTTATTCAGAGACCCTAGGTGTTACAAAACTGTAATTTGGTATAGTTATAGATTACAATCACGCCTAAAAGATGTGAAATAAAATCTTGAAAAACATTTTTATTTTCGATATTTAGCTATAAAGTGGTACATTTTATTAGTCATATGTGTCCCTCTACTAATTAAACCGCTGTTTTTGGAAACAATAGTGCATACTTTTTACATTTAACATAATGAAGATAAAAGGAAAACAATTACAGCTAAGTAGGCTTAACAAGTTACCGAGTAATAGACGACCAACTTGTAAAATGCACTTGGATTAGTAAAAGATTGGTTACAATTCCATAGAGTATGACATTATAACTTTTTAATGTTATTGTAAACTGTAAAAAATCAACATTTTATGAAGAAAACGACTTATGTATTACTACTGTAGCTTTACGTTTTTCTTTGCGGGGTAAGCAGAGAGGGTTGACCGCCAAGAGACTGATCCTGGCATACCACTTTCGCTTATTTTTTAGTTTAGTTATTGTAGGCCTACAGTTTCATTCGTGGTACTCTTGGTTTACTCAGGATAGTTTAGGGCAATGGTGGTTTACAGGAAGGTTCGTTACAGTTGTATATATCTTAGGGTTGCACTGCTGGAAACTAATAGATGAATTAGGAACTATGGTCATTTTTGAATGAACTTGGCAGGTGAATGATTTGATGTAGATTATAATATGTTCAAAATCGAAAAGTTTTTTTTAATCTTTATTGAATACCACTTTATTGAATACCATCCTTAAGTCTGCCAAAGAAGTCTGCTTGAAAAATAGTTACCATAGTCCTATTTGGGCCCATTTTTAGTCGTTATCGGACTCATTTAATATCAAAAAGGCCTCTAACTTCACGTATTGTGACGGGAAATTACGGAATAGTGGAATCTAATTACAACACCTCTTTGTATTTGCTTCATGGGAAGGGACACTCACAGAATACCGGTGTTAAATAGTAGCTTAATGCTACTGTGTTTCATATGGCGACTGTAGAGAACCAGGGAACCTATTTACTGGTAAAAAGGCAACTACAACATTTTAGTTTTTATCGAGGATAGATGTAGACGTCTAAGAGCCACAGTATCCACCACTTCCATCCAGGTGGTTTGGGTTCCTTTGTCACCCTTATTCTGTAAAAAATCTAAACTTCCTGTTCCAAAGAAGTGACTCCATAAAACTATTTTTTTTTTATATTTTATTAAGCCAGCGCTTATCTACGATCCCACTTGATGGTAAGTGGTGATGTAGCCTAAGATGATGAAGCGCACTGACTTAACAAAAGCCTATTCACTCTTGCCTTGAAGACACCCACACTGTAATCGGATGGAAACACAGAAGCTGGCAACTTATTCCAATCCTTTGCTGTATGCATGATGAACGACGTGGCCAACCGTTTGGTTCGAATGCGTGGTAAGTCAACAACGAAAGGGTGGAGAGTGGCCGAACGTCTGGTTGTCCGATGGTGGAAGGGAGAGGGTGGAATTAAATTATGTAATTCCTGCGCACACTCTCCGAAATGCATCCTGTAGAAAACTGAAATGCTGGCTACTTTACGTCTGTATTCGAGGCTGGTAATATTGGTTTTAACCAAATTCGGGTCACCATTAAGCCTCTTAGCACGCCTTTCCATTGAGTCTAGAGCTGCTAGGTGGCATTTTTTTTGTTATATTACTGATTTGCCTTTGCATAAATTCAAAGTACATGTAAAAATCATTCTTTTAACAAAGAAAGGTATAAGGCTTGCATGGACGAGCTCTCATATTTCAATTTTGTGTAAAACATATTCTAGCGTGACACTAATTATAAAATACTTTTTGTAAGAGACTACGAATTGTTAATTAAACTCAAAGATTTTTGTTTAAAATGTTTTAATAAAAAGTATAAACACAATACTGTAAAATAAAATAAGTTTTAAAGCAAGTTGGACGGATTATTCGGAATGTAGTTACATGAAGTAAATAAGTACAAAAATACCATAATAAACATTTGTTAACATGCACATTGTAATTATATGTAATAAAATTGGTATATAAAAGATATTACAATTAAGAAGTAAATTAATACAATAATTACTGTAGTCTTACTTTTCATTAGCATACTTCAATATAAAGTGTATATAAAATAAATAAATTTAAAATTATCAACTTTGTCCAGTATAATGTATATTTGTAATTTTAAGTATGAAATACAAAAAACAAACTAAATCGGTATATTATAAAAGCTATGGTATACTAAACTAAAATCTAACTATATAAATATTGTATGATGTTCTGTCTAGGTCGCAGCCAGCTTAATTTGCGACATTACATGGCATGATCACCCTATTAATTTCATTCAACGAGACTGTCGCTGATGTGTGCCTAATTATGCGCTATGTGCTATATTATATAAATGTACACAGCTTTAGTGTGGCCAAGAGTCATCCCAGGCGCACCTTAACTGCCCTAACCTTCTGTCGCTGATATTACAAGTTTTGTATTGGACGCATCGGCTGAATAATCCCAATATCATTCAGGGCGCTAGTTAATCGGCGCCGTTTAGTAAAAAAATAAGCAGTTAACTGACAGGCTAATTAAGCCAGTTTGCTGCAATATCTATGTAATGTTTCATCTAAACTAAGAAGGCACTAATTGTGTACTACTTATTTTGACTAACAATAAGTGCTTAATCATTATATTTGAGATTAATTTTTTAATAAGACATTTAAATACTGCACATTTGTTTAACTTATTTTGTTTAGTTAAAAACACTTATCAACAAATGTATTGGATTCTTATAACAGAACTGGTAATATGTTTTCAATTCAGTATCATTGTTTTTTTATGCTAATTATTTAGTTGTATTATTTACGGTATACATTGATATTATACTTACAAATTACCTCACATACTGCCCCACATATATACAACCTTTCTATGATTGATCTATTTAAAACTTAATTTTGTCTTTACTCAACAATTGATATGACTT